AAGTAAAGTTCAGTAGCGACGCCTTACAATGCACATCTATATCTGTAAATGATATCATTGCTTTCAATCCAACTCTTAAAGTTGCATTTGCTTCAGATTCAAATCCACCGACAAATAAATTTGTTCCATGGAATGAACCATTCACTATGATAACGAAGGCAGTAGAAGCTAGTGGAACAGTTACTATTACAACTGTAACCCAGCAACTATTTCGAACAAAGATGGATTTTAATGAATGTTTTATTCATCCAAAGTCATTCTCTTTAGACCCTAACATTTATACAGAACTTGTAGAACATTATACAAACGCTTTATGTTTTCCTGTTAAAGTTATGGATTGGATTCCTATGGATGGTTCATTCTCAAAGAATACAGATAGTTCAAGTGCAACATTTACAGCAGCTTATACGCCTATTAATGTTAAAAGTATTTGGGCACTATTTAGAAAGAAAGACAACTATTATGTTAATTTTGAGAACCCTAAGTTTAAATATCTTCAGCTTTCCATGGGAGCTTATGGAAATATGCCTGCAGAACCTGAAAAATCATATGGACCTGTATTTTATGAAATGGTTGCGAACGCTTGCAATACAAACAATGATATGATGGATTTAATGAAGATGTTATGAGGTCATTGGTGGATGATGGTAGTGTGGAACATAAATGGGATAGCTATGACAACACACATTTCTTATGTGGTTTTCCAACAGAAGTGGACTTTTGCTTCCAGCAAGGTCAAACATCTACTGCTCCAATAACATACAAATTGTCTGTTAAAGGACCTATTGAACTAGCAACAGAAAATGTACCAAAGCCACTTATTGGATTTATGAGGGATTGTTGCTTTGCAATACGTGCAGTAAGGCATACCAATAATAAGACTTGACGACTATAACTTAGCACGGACGACAGTGAGGAATAAAGGATGAACGTTTATTTTTAAAGCTTATAAATGAGTTCTTCATCAAGCTCTCGTGAACCTTCACCATCTGTGAAACAAACTTTACCAAACGATTATGGAGCACCTATTGAATATTTCTTACGAGCTGCACAATGGCAAAGAGCAGTCTCACCAAGGTTAGGTGTTCCACCAGCTCCTGTCAAAAATAGCATTTGGTCAAGTCCTTATATAAGATATGGTCTCCCACTAGGTTTGCTAGCTACAGCAGGAGCAGTAATGATGTTGAAAAGAAAAACAAAGCAAATGTTATAAATAATACTGAAGTAGCTGAATTTGAACAAACTCCGACACCATCGCCAAAAACCTTCAATGACTCCTGAACCTATGGAAGTACAAACTCCTGTTCAAAAGTCAACTCCTAAACCGACTCCAACATTTAAACCAGAACCTACTCCTCAAATAAATCGTAAAACTCCTGCGTTTCCTTACTGAAAAAATAACGTTATTTTTATTTTATATTAAAATTTTTATTTGATTGAAATGACGACTAAAGTCACTGAAGCAATGAAACAAAAGTTTTTGGTAGAATACATTAAATCAGGAACTATTCCAGAAGGTTTTTACATTCATACTATGAAGGATGGTAGAGTTCAGTTTAGAAAGATAAAGCAACCATTAGATAGAGAAGGTATATTAAGGAAGATTAAACTTCATGAGGACAACATTGCTGAACTTAAGAAGAAGTTAGAAGAGTTGGAGAAAGGAAGAGAGTTATAAAGCAATGAATTCAAGGGTGAAAAAACAGGTGAAAAAAGAGGTGAGATCTCACCACTTCACCTAAATTTATTTTTGTGCTATGTTTTCATACGTGTGAGTGGTGATATCATTAATTTTTAAGTTTATTTTATTATTTAGCGAGAACGTTTATTTTTATAAATGACAGAACAAAAGCAACTCATTCGAATTCCACAGTATAACAAACATACATTTAAACATTTATTCTTCCTTCCTGAACATAACATGTTCTTTCAAATACATCCGAGACCAGTTGACTTTTCATTGACTGTGTATAAAGATAGAAATAGTTATATCATTAAACCATACGATGACGAAGGTAAGTTATGTAAATTGTACGTTAAGAAGTTAGAGAAAGTTTATGGCTTCAAGTATGACTACAATAGGGTTAACACTGATGATGAAATATTGATTTGAGGAAAATTTATGAGAACATTAGTGTAGTCGTTAGTGAGAACGATAGTGAGAACGTTTATTTTACATTAGTGAGTTCGTTAGTGAAGTGAAGTGGGTGGTGGTTTTGTAAATATTTAAGGTTAAGTTAGTGTTGTCGTTTGTGTTGTAAAATATACGTTAACGGTTTCGTAAAGTGTCAAATTCACAAGTATTGCGTACGGAGGAACGCAGTGCCTCCATACCCAAGATAACCATACTAACTTGCGGTGTGTTATTATTGTACTCCCAAATAAAGGCAGGAATAGCCTGAATGCTTTGGCAGCGCTCCAATGTCGGCCAGAATCTCTCAATCTTCCCATTTTGGTAGGGAGAATGAGAATCTGTATGCCGCCATTGGACGCCCAAAGATCAAGTAGATCTTGAAAGGCGCCCCTATTTTCTGAACCGTTGTCGGTCCAGAAACAATAAGGGGCGCCAAATTCAATGAAGGCGGAAGCCGCAACGTTCGCTGTCGTCGCTGCCAGCATATCTGGTATTTGTATACACGCTAGGACTTTGCGGCTAAAATCGTCGATTATGCCATAAATATACTGGCCACGAACACCCTAAAATAATGAACATCTGCGTGCCAGATAAGATTGGGTGAAAGCGCCCAATATCTTACTGCTGTTTCTGGCCCGGCATGCTCTAATCGCGTCTTGGTGAAATGATTTTCTTTGAAGTATCTGCGTACTTCTCTATAAGATACATCAATTTGTTGTAATTTCAAACGTTTCCATTGTTTTGTTTGACCACAGGGAAAGGCCCAGTGGTCATGTATCACAGCAAGAGCTTTGATTTGGTCGTAGGGATTGACCCTACGACCTTTCTTGCCTTTAGGCAATGGGATATTCTGTAAGCTAAATTGATTTTGTAAAAAAGATTTTGAAACATCTAAATATTTTAAATCATTTGATTGAAGGGTTGGGGCGATGGGAACATGGGTGCAAGCTTCTTCCCATGTCATTTTACCTTCTTCAATCTGATTGGAAATACCAATTAGGTAAATTCGATCGACATACCCTTTGTAAGGATTCATTTTAATGAAGTACGTTAACAATCAAAATATTCTATAAGTGTCTAGTATGGAATTCAAAAGAATAAAGAAAATGGTAACGTAAATAAACGTATTATGAAATAATTTATAATTAAAATGAAAAAAAGAAAAAATAATAAGTAAAGTGACTGGAAATGAAAATGAAAATCAGTGTACAGTTTTATTTTTTTCTCGCTGTGAAACGTATTCGGTCATTTTTTTAAAAATTAATTTTTTGTTAGAGATAAGAGCTAAAACTCGGTAAACAACTTCTTTATGTCTAGAAAATTCTATCTTGCCTTTTATTTTTTTCTCGCTGTGAAACGTATTCGGTCATTTTTTTAAAAATTAATTTTTTGTTAGAGATAAGAGCTAAAACTCGGTAAACAACTTCTTTATGTCTAGAAAATTCTATCTTGCCTTTTATTTTTTTCTCGCTGTGAAACGTATTCGGTCATTTTTTTAAAAATTAATTTTTTGTTAGAGATAAGAGCTAAAACTCGGTAAACAACTTCTTTATGTCTAGAAAATTCTATCTTGCCTTTTATTTTTTTCTCGCTGTGAAACGTATTCGGTCATTTTTTTAAAAATTAATTTTTTGTTAGAGATAAGAGCTAAAACTTTGCAGACAACTCCCCCATGTCTAGCAAATTTAACATTCGTCTCCCATTTTTATATATTTGGTTTAGAATGTTCGAAAATGCGTAATATGGTCATTAATATTAATTGAAAAGAACCTTGAATTAATTCAATCTGATCTCACAAAATATTTTAAATTACAAACTTTGTAGTTTGAATAGATAATTAGTATTAAACTCAAATAACTAGTTTATTTTTGAATAAAAATTATTTGAATTTATTCAATTTTGTGAATTTTCCTTCAAAAATCAAGTTTAAATATCTTATTTGCCATATAATTATAAATACAATGAAACATATTCGAAATTGAAAAGAATGACTTTTTCTGTTCTTTCAATCATTCAATTTGAATTTTGCAATATTGGATTTCTCATTAAATAGCTATTAAAAACAACAAGCAATTTAACTTACATTCAAATTTATTTGTGTTATATTCAATCTTCTCAAAACTTATAATTTTCGGCTATAGCATGATTATATGCTATATAATATAATAAACCTATAATAGTATCATTCTTTCAATTATTTGAAGAGAAAACCGAAAAAATATATTTTCGGTCTATAACAGTTATCGGTTCTTACGCTTTTGGAAGGAGGGATGGTATTTTTGGAGCATTTATATTACATTGGTACTAAGGCTTTTGGAAAATTTACAAAATAAATTTAATATTTTGTAAATGTTATCGGTTCTTACGCTTTTGGAAGGAGGGATGGTATTTTTGGAGCATTTATATTACATTGGTACTAAGGCTTTTGGAAAATTTACAAAATAAATTTAATATTTTGTAAATGTTATCGGTTCTTACGCTTTTGGAAGGAGGGATGGTATTTTTGGAGCATTTATATTACATTGGTACTAAGGCTTTTGGAAAATTTACAAAATAAATTTAATATTTTGTAAATGTTATCGGTTCTTACGCTTTTGGAAGGAGGGATGGTATTTTTGGAGCATTTATATTACATTGGTACTAAGGCTTTTGGAAAATTTACAAAATAAATTTAATATTTTGTAAATGTTATCGGTTCTTACGCTTCCTCTCTTCATCAAGATGCTTCCTCACTCCATCATGCATCCATCATGCAGCTTCCTCTCTTGATCAAGATGCTTCCTCTCTTGATCAAGATGCTTCCTCTCTTCAACAAAGTGATTCCTCTCTTCATCAAGATGCTTCCTCACTCCATCATGCATCCATCATGCAGCTTCCTCTCTTGATCAAGATGCTTCCTCTCTTGATCAAGATGCTTCCTCTCTTGATCAAGGTGCTTCCTCTCTTCATCAAAGTGCTTCCTCTCTTCTTCAAAGTACTTCCTCTCTTGATCAAGGTGCTTCCTCTCTTCTTCAAAGTACTTCCTCTCTTGCTCAAGATGCAGCTTCCTCTCTTCATCAAGATGCTTCCTCTCTTCTTCAAAGTACTTCCTCTCTTGATCAAGATGCTTCCTCTCTTCATCAAAGTGCTTCCTCTCTTCTTCAAAGTACTTCCTCTCTTGATCAAGGTGCTTCCTCTCTTGATCAAGGTGCTTCCTCTCTTCTTCAAAGTACTTCCTCTCTTGATCAAAGTACTTCCTCTCTTGCTCAAGATGCAGCTTCCTCTCTTCATCAAGATGCTTCCTCTCTTCTTCAAAGTACTTCCTCTCTTGATCAAGATGCTTCCTCTCTTCATCAAGATGCTTCCTCTCTTCTTCAAAGTACTTCCTCTCTTGATCAAAGTACTTCCTCTCTTGCTCAAGATGCAGCTTCCTCTCTTCATCAAGATGCTTCCTCTCTTCTTCAAAGTACTTCCTCTCTTGATCAAGATGCTTCCTCTCTTGATCAAGATGCTTCCTCTCTTCAACAAAGTGATTCCTCTCTTCATCAAGATGCTTCCTCACTCCATCATGCATCCATCATGCAGCTTCCTCTCTTGATCAAGATGCTTCCTCTCTTGATCAAGATGCTTCCTCTCTTGATCAAGGTGCTTCCTCTCTTCATCAAAGTGCTTCCTCTCTTGATCAAGGTGCTTCCTCTCTTCTTCAAAGTACTTCCTCTCTTGATCAAAGTACTTCCTCTCTTGCTCAAGATGCAGCTTCCTCTCTTCATCAAGATGCTTCCTCTCTTCTTCAAAGTACTTCCTCTCTTGATCAAGATGCTTCCTCTCTTCATCAAGATGCTTCCTCTCTTCTTCAAAGTACTTCCTCTCTTCATCAAGATGCTTCCTCTCTTCATCAAGATGCTTCCTCTCTTCTTCAAAGTACTTCCTCTCTTCTTCAAAGTACTTCCTCTCTTGATCAAGGTGCTTCCTCTCTTCTTCAAAGTGCTTCCTCTCTTGCTCAAGATGCAGCTTCCTCTCTTGATCAAGGTGCTTCCTCTCTTCATCATGCAGCTTCCTCTCTTCAACAAAGTACTTCCTCTCTTGATCAAGATGCTTCCTCTCTTCAACAAAGCACTTCCTCTCTTGATCAAGATGCTTCCTCTCTTCTTCAAAGTGCTTCCTCTCTTGCTCAAGATGCAGCTTCCTCTCTTGATCAAGGTGCTTCCTCTCTTCATCAAGATGCTTCCTCTCTTCTTCAAAGTACTTCCTCTCTTGATCAAGATGCTTCCTCTCTAAATCAAAGTGCTTCCTCTCTTCTTCAAAGTACTTCCTCTCTTGATCAAGGTGCTTCCTCTCTTCATCAAGATGCTTCCTCACTCCATTATGCAGCTGCTTCTTTTCTTCATCAATTCCTCTTCACCCTGGAGCTCCTCAGCTTTATATCATTTTAATTGGATTTTTTGAAATCCACCTGCAGTAGGATAAAGGAGATGTAACTCACGACTAAGAACCTGGCCATATGCTCCATTCCAGGCCAAAACAGATTGCATAGCCACAAACAGATTGAAATACCAATCCTGTTGCTGCATGGGGCGTCCATATTCCATTTGGAAGACTTGCATCATCACATTTGGATCTGTAAGGACTTTGTCGTTGACAAAATTGGGCCTTGCAGGAGGAACTCCATTTGCTACAATGTATCTGGAAGCAAGAGGTTTGTTCATATCCAATGGATAGATTCCTGTTGCTTTAAAAGCATTTTCGATGTTTGTAGCTGTGCAAGACACACTACATGCATCAAGGAAGCTGCGAACCATGATATAGCGCAGTTATCTGGCGTTCCATACATAATTGATCACCATATGCCCTTGCTGATCGTACCGGATAGTCGCCATATCAAACAACTTCTTGAATTGGGCCTTCAAGGGAGAAAAAATCCCAACATCAAGAGGTTGTAAGATATGAGATGTATGGCCTGGGAGAACAAGAAGCTCGATATTGAAGGCGCTCAAGAGGCGAACGGCCAAGAAAGAGAGCCTGGATGGATGACCATCTACAATTAGGAGAAAAGGTACCTGGGCATCAAACACATTCATTTGAGACCTTTTCTCCTGTACTTTGCAGATGAACATGATACAGTATACCATAAAAAGGTATTTGTTCATCCATCCACTCTCGGAGCGAACAAAAAAGGCGTCCAGATCTTCCAATTCCGCATCAAGGGTCTTCTTTTGTGGAAGTATCACCATTGGCTTCATAGTTGTACCATCTGCAAAGATGGTACAGACACCTGTAAGATGTGGAAGCTGAGACTTTTCAGCGCGAACTGGGCGATTCCGGCCAGCAGTAAGAACTTTATAGCGACGTTTGGAATAGAGCATTGTCTCGTCCATATTCGCAATAAACTTCTTCCTGCGGGCAAAGTATCTATGCTTGGAGAGGAAAAATTGGCGAATATGGTTTGCGTCACAGGTAGAGCGTCGGAGCATATCAATAGTTTGGGAGCTCACAATCCGAATTGACAATCTTGTGGCGATATGATTAAGCCAGCCACGGGATGGCGATGGGCAGTAATCATCGAGCTTCGCTAGAAGATGCGGGCATCTTGCAGTGATTAGTACCCGCGCCGCAAATTTTAATCTCCTATTTTGTAATTCCGTACAGACAGCAATGGCCATTGATGTTGTAATACAGTTCAAGTCGTCTGCCATCTCTTGAACAAGTTTTTTGAACTGCATTTCATCTGGTAGTGACAAAAGGGTCATACCACCCCCTGACTGACCTTTTGTCCATGAACGACAAGTAGCAGTGCGCATGATTGCGCGTGCTACTGTCGTCTTTGAAATTGAGTAAACATTCCGTATTTGTTGATAAGACTCGCCATTTACTCTTCGATAGAGTAAATCGAGTTGCATCTGGGTCAATAGCCCAAGATTTTTATAGTTTTCTAATTCTGCAAACTCGGGAATTCGTGTTCTTGGTTGCATTTTTTTAAAACGAGAACTTCACAAATTTGGTTCATGGCCATAAAAACTCATTCAATTTTTCTGAGATTTTTTTTCTTCACTCACTCAAAACGCAGAGGACCATTCTTCTCAAAATTGAATTATTTTCTCAAATATTGAGTGAGTAAAATGGGCACGTTGTGTAAATTGATTCAAAATTTTTGGCAAACCCAAATTTTAGCTAAAAGTGACAGGAAAAAAAAACGTTTAGTATTAAAAAAAAAGACCGATGAGAGCTTCATTCGAAATATAGAGGGAACTGAGAATGCGCAACCATTCTCAGGGAATATTGGATGCTATTCCCGTTCCCTCTGTATGGAAAATTGAGGTTTTCAAAGGGAGTTAAATAATATATATCAAATTTATACTAATTTACTTCAAAATACAAAAGTATTTGACAGCTAAAATTAGTTACTTTAGCAAGCCTATCAATACCCTTTTACGATTATTGCTACTTTTTCGAAATAAAAGTAAAAACAAATTTATACTAATTTACTTCAAAATACAAAAGTATTTGACAGCTAAAATTAGTTACTTTAGCAAGCCTATCAATACCCTTTTACGATTATTGCTACTTTTTCGAAATAAAAGTAAAAACAAATTTATACTAATTTACTTCAAAATACAAAAGTATTTGACAGCTAAAATTAGTTACTTTAGCAAGCCTATCAATACCCTTTTACGATTATTGCTACTTTTTCGAAATAAAAGTAAAAACAAATTTATACTAATTTACTTCAAAATACAAAAGTATTTGACAGCTAAAATTAGTTACTTTAGCAAGCCTATCAATACCCTTTTACGATTATTGCTACTTTTTCGAAATAAAATAAATTTATTATCAAAAACCTTTTTTTCTTAGTAAAAATAAAAATGTTATTTTATATCAAGTTTTTATTCATAAATTTTTATAATGTTGTATAAATTTGAAGGTGGAAATCTGTAATAATTTTATCTTGAAAAGACTTGGCATTCTCAACAATGAATTGAGGGGTATTGCATCCAAATTCTGTAATTTGCGTGAGAATACTAAGCTTGATTTCCATTGGGATACTTAATTTCGAAAAATACTGGGTCATTCGTTTTTGAACCTTTGCTGCCTTGACAACTTTATCAAGTAGGTCATCTAAACCCAATTGAAGCGTATTTAAGTTTGCTGATGAGTTAACTATTAACGATTTAATTTTATCAGTGAGCATTATACATTTTTCTGTATCCAGTCTGATTGTAGACTTTTTTGGCTTTTTTTCAGATGGCAACGGATTTGGAATTTTGTCTCTGAGCCTTATATCTTGAGAAATTCTGTAATAAAATGAAGGAACGATAAAATCGATTAATTTCATCACAAATCGATCAAATCTCATGAAAATTGTTCCGCCAAAGTAGTAATATTTAATTTTTTTGTTAATCGATTCTGAAATGTTATTTGTGAGAGCTAAATTTTCATCTCTTTCAGCGGCTGTCCATCTTTCTTGGTTTGATATCCATTGATTTTGTATGTATTTTGAAAATTCTGGGAATTTTTCGGCTATTTCCAGAATTTTTTTGAACGTTGGTTCAATCCATTCTTTCTTGCCATTTCTGCCGTATGCAAGATAGTTCATTTTTGTATCTAATATCAATTTGTCTGAACTCTCAAATGCATAATCTTTCAAATTTTTTCTGAACGCCCTCATTACATGAACTGCACACCAATGAAGGATAACTTCTGGAAAAGAGTTGATAATCGCATTTTCGATTTCTTGTGCACAATCTGACATAAAATATTTTGGTTTTACTTTTGCCCAGTTAAAAAATGCCTTGAGACAGAATGCAATATTTTCTGAAGTGTTTGGATAAACGACAAATTGAAAAATTGGGAATGCATGTGTATTTGGAAATTTGGCTGATATCATGTAAAACAACATTTTAAATTCAAGTAATGAATGGGTTGCATCAATAAAATGCTCTTTCACAATTTTGATTATGTCCAGAAATTTGAAAGAAGCATAATAAAAGATTAATTTCTTTGGTTTGTTGTAATTATCGACATCGAAATAAATTAAATCTTTTGGTGACTCTTGTTCTTTGATACCCTTAAATAATTGAGTTGACTTGAATTGATTATCATCGTACTTTTGAATACCTTTGATCTTTTTATTTCCTTTTTCCTGAATTGTTTTCATTTGATCTGAAGATGCATTCAAAAAAGATGGCCTGTTAAGTGGATCATCCAGATCAAGTTTTTTGTCGCATTCAATTTGAGCCATTTTCGGATCACCCCCCCTGTTTTATAAAATTAATAAGTACCCGACGATAGCATTGTGATAATGTGTGGTATTTCTTTGTCTCATCTTTGATTTGCTTGTGATTATGTGTTCCATTATATTCTGTTAGGATATATTCTTCATCATCCTTTAGAAATGAGATACATGCTTCACATTTATCTGCACTGCACCTGAATTTTAATTTTTTTTCCCCTAAATTTGGATTTTTTTTAATTGATATGGACAACCTGCATGGCATTCGTTATCAATGACAGCTTTCATAGCATCTATATAAGATAGCCTTTCTTTAAGTTCGCATGGTGCATCGATATGCATCAAAAAAATGAAATGAAATTTCAATATCAAAAAAAGCACAAAATTTGAAAAAATTCACAAATCTCGGTTTCTGAAAGAAAATGGCCTCTTAAACTTTGTGCATATATTCATCTATAAGACACATTGTATCCATATATTATTTAGCCAACACAACTTATCTGGTATCGAGAAAATTCAAAAAAAGCACAAAATTTGAAAATTGCTCGGTTCTACATTCAAAATAAATTTCATTAATTTTTACGTACATATTAAGGTACTTATCTTCTACATATATAATCTTCATTAGATATATACATGATAAATAAAATTCATAAAACATTAAAAATCAAAAAATTAGATGAACCTTGGCAATTAAACTTTATTAAATAATAGTTGTTTATAAATAATATTATATTATATTATCATTTAATATTATTTTGATAATGAAGATTTTATTTTGCAATAATATACTAATTTACTTCAAAATACAAAAGTATTTGACAGCTAAAATTAGTTACTTTAGCAAGCCTATCAATACCCTTTTACGATTATTGCTACTTTTTCGAAATAAAAGTAAAAACAAATTTATACTAATTTACTTCAAAATACAAAAGTATTTGACAGCTAAAATTAGTTACTTTAGCAAGCCTATCAATACCCTTTTACGATTATTGCTACTTTTTCGAAATAAAAGTAAAAACAAATTTATACTAATTTACTTCAAAATACAAAAGTATTTGGCAGCTAGAATTAGTTACTTTAGCAAGCCTATCAATACCCTTTTACGATTATTGCTACTTTTTCGAAATAAAATAAATTTATTATCAAAAACCTTTTTTTTCTTAGTAAAAATAAACGAAATTTTTTACCTTATGAACTTTTGATGGAAATATGCAAATTTAAAATAATAAAGAAAGCCGCGAGCGAAGCGATCGGCTTAGTTCGAAGATTTTGATTCAAATCTTTGCTGATCTGTAATTCGCGGAAGCCGCGAGCGAATCGAGCGGCTTAGGTCTAAAATTTTGATTCAAATCTTTGCTTATATTCCTTAAATTCTTTATGAAACTCGCAACAGTTCCATAAAAAATTTTAAATTCTAAACTGTCGAAATTACCGATCGGTAATCACACCCTTCACGGGTGTGTCACTTTTTACAAGTGCGTCACTTTTAGCTAAAATTACCCCTACTCAAAATTTTTTATTGGTACACGACCTTTGAAATTGGTCTCGGGCTATTCAACCTACGGTAAACACTTTTTCCTCATTTTGTTTGAAAATTTATCAGAAATGAAAATTCAATGAAATAAATATTTTTTTTTCAAAAATGAATCGTTCTGCTGCTGTACCTTTTACTATTGTTAGCAACAATCATGGCTACGTTCAAGTATATAAACGCGTAGATATGATCGGAGCAGGCGGGTTCGGTAAAGTGTTTAAAGTCGTCGAACAAAAAACGCAACAAACATATGCTTTGAAAGTTATTCCTAACGACAAGTTTACAACGAATGCCGAAAGAGAAGCTCTTCAGAATGAAATAAGTCTCCAGAAATCATGCAATCATCCCAATATTGTGAAAATTATTCATACGTTCGCTGATTCACTGAACCAATATATTGTTTTGGAGTACTGTCCTGGTGGATCGATGGAAGCTAAGTATAAAACCGAAGGGAGGTTCACACCGGAAAAGGTGGCCGAATTTTTAAAAGATGCTCTTTCAGCTCTCTGCTATATCCATGCAAAAGGAATTGTGCACCGTGATATCAAATTATCAAACTTCCTGATAGGAGAAGATGGCCACGTAAAACTTTGCGATTTCGGTTTTGCAATAAAAGACAACCCAAACATCAAAACTTCCGTTAGTGGCACCCCATCTTATATTGCCCCAGAGTTAATCTTTAAGGGAACAGACGGAATTAGTCCAAAAATCGATATTTGGGCGATTGGAATATGCGTTTTTACTCTTTTAAACGGGTATCCACCATTTGAAGCGTCATCCGCAAAGATGTCATTCGAGAGAATCAAAAACGGTACATACAGATTTAATATCGCTGCAAACGTTTCTTATTTCGCCAAAGAATTTATTCAAAAAGCTCTGACGCGTGATCCGGAAGAAAGACCTACAGCCGAAGAATTACTTCACCACCAATTACTAATGAAACAAGCGACTACTCCTGCCATAAAAATGTCGAAATCTTTCAGTACAATTCCGCAAATGAATACAAAGAATCTGGATCACTCCCCGATAGCCCCAATATCACCTCTAGCAGATCCAGAACCTCAGCAACTCATCGAACCAACAGAAAGCCCATCAGATTCAGTAAATTCGGACTACAGATTGCCTCCGAAACATTCTGTATGCAGATTTTGGGATTTGAGCGATAAATACGGTCTCGGCTATTTGCTACAGGATGGATGCGTAGGAGCTGTATTCAATGACTACACTAGAATGATATCTGATCCACATAGAACTTTCATTCAATATTATGATTCGCCGCATACTGTTAATTTTCAAATCGTTGATGCCAAAACACCTAGCGATGATGTATCAAAGAAGCTTATCATACTTTCAAAGTTCAGCGACGCTCTTAGAAAAGGCAATGATTTATATAAGATTCCAGCATTGAAATACGACAGAAACTCCGCATTGAAATACGTCAGACATTGGTCCCGCGAGGATAAAAGAGTACTATTTAGGTTTGACAATGGCGATATTCAAGTCAACTTCGAAGACTCCATAAAACTCTTCATTTTCTGGTCCGACCAGAAGCTTATACTCTCTAACAGTTTGAAACAAGAGGGTAAATGCATTGGCGTAAACCAGGTTTCGGATAATGGAAATGAAGAAGAGAAAAAGAGACTTGCGATCGCTAAAAGGATGTTAAAGACACCTGTAGAGAAGAGTCCTCATATGAGCCAATAGATTATATTGATATATTTAATTGTTTTATATAAATTAAATTTCCATGTTATGTTGATTCATTCTTTAGTTAATTATATATTATTTTTTCACTCAAAATTAAGGAAGTCAGTTTTCTAAGGTTTGCTGTAAAATTTGTAATAAAAATGAAGGAGACAAATTAAATAAACAACAAAAATATTTATACAAACAAATAAAATAAGATAAGTAGTAGCGAATCTAGAAGGCTTCGTCTCCATTTTCGTCATCGTAGGCATTTATTAATTCATAAGCGGGTTTCACAGAAGGAAAGTTAGAAATTAGGGCATTATCTAAGTCAAACTTGTAATCTATACTAGAAGCTATATCGAATTGTGTAATAATATGCGGAGGTTTATCAGATCTATTGGCTAATTTGAGAATAAGCTGATCCTTGGATTGTTTTATGGAAAAATTTGCTTGGAAGACTATAAATGGAAGCTGTATATAAACTTGAGGTCGAGGTATTGATCGATTTCGTACAATTAATGCGTTAATATATGACAGATATCGAAGTTTATACTTGAGTTTTTCAATTTTATCTTTAACTAATAAGGTTTTCGTAAGATCATTTACTTTTGTCTGTTGAACTCTCATATTGTTTGAATAACCAACCCATGTGATAGTAGTTCCTGTTTTGGTAATAATATCTGCAGCTGCAAGTACGCCAATGACGTCATAAACACGGCGTTTCATAGATGTTTGTTGAGATGGTCCTTGGATAGGAGAAATCATCATCGCAGTTAAGTCAGACGCATTCATTGTTCCGGCTGCCTTTAATTTATCTGCAATAACTGCTGAAATTGTTTTTAAACTCCCATCTTGGGTCATCAATAATTTTTAGTTTTGACAAAACAATTTTCCAAAATTTTTATGCAATATCTCATCATTTGAAACATCAAACACCTTTAACATACTAGATTACAACCTGCGTAATTTGCTTTCTAAATATAACTCAGAATACCAAAGAGTCAGAGAATTTGATAAACTGAAACTCATATCAGAATCAAAGTCTTACAACTTTAATATTCAAATACTCATCTACATATGATAAAGAGGTTATTTGTCATACTATTTATATCATAATCTATATTTCTGATCCAGAAATTGTTGATTCTCTTTCTAGATTCAAAAATTTTATCGGTGTGCAGCACCGATAATTGACGAAAATGTAAAAAATTTGAGCGTTAAAACAATGACGAGTAATATTCCCGAAAATCTGCTTCCCTACGCAGAAATACAAAGGGCATTGACAGAGCTTACTCCAGATACAGTCGAAAGCGTCTATGATTTGATATTAAAATCACCTCTTACCAAAGAAAAAACCTACATTAATTTCATTGTCAATGAATTAATTACAATATTTCCTTTAAAGCATAAGAGATGGGATATGTATATCACATTAACGCAAAAATTAAGTAAATGCAATACACAACCCTTTAATACATTCAAAACAATATTAATGCAAGAATTATTTGCAACAAGAGACGAATGGGAAATCCACAACAAATCTCCAATATTAAAATACGCTCGTCTATGCTTAAAAGCCAAAATTTACACAATTAACGAAGTAATTAATTATTTAATCAAATTACCAACAACAGCACCATCACAATACTTCCTTAGCGTTTGTTTCTTTGCTCCAGAGACATTTAAAGCAAATCAAGGTATATTTACAACTTTCAAACAGATTATTCAAAAAATGGTCGTATCAGAAGACCAAACAGCAACAGTCACACAAGTTCCAGGTGGTGGAGGTCCATTATACCGTATCAAAGACTCAGTAGTTCAAGAATACGTAAATTGCTTTGATATTCTCTGCGAAAACGACTTCCAAAAGCTCATTCCTTTAATAGATACAGGCTGCGAATACAACTCAGTAGAATTAGATATCTACAACGATGATGTCGAAAATATGTCATCAAAAATGGGAAAAACATACAATACCAATCGAAAAGTCAGTCCAAATCCTTTCCATCCAGCCATGTTCCTTCAATGGCGTCCAACGTTATTAGAAATGGCCGCTTTTTACGGTTCGCCGAAATCATTTGACTATTTACTCAAGAGAAATGCGAGAACATCATTCATTGCCATGATGGCAGTCGCAGGTGGCTTCGAATCCATCCTCAAACGCGTCGAAGAGCTCAAAGAACCGTTCGAAGCCTGCCTAAGAATTGCGGCCGCATTCAGAGACATCAAGACGATAGAATGGCTCATTCAAAATCACTTTTCAGAGCTAAAGTACGATAAAGAAATAAATTATGTTCTTGCACGTGCAGCGTTTACTAACTATCTCCCAATGCTTGATTTCTGTATCAACAAAGGCGTTGATATTAATTTTAGTGATGAAAATGGAGAAACAGCACTTCACTTGGCCGTGAAAATGGAAAATAAAGAAGCTTTGTTGTTCCTTATAAGTAGGCCACACTTGCAGTTCAGAAAGAAGAATGTTTATGGATTGAATCCACATTCTATGACGAAAAACAAAGAAATTTTGGATATTTTGAATGGTGCGGAAGAAAAAAGAGCTCAGGAGAAAGAAAAACAGAAGAAAGCTAAGCGAATTTAACTATGTATGTGATTTATTTTGAATAAAAATGTAAATTATAAAATTATCTCAGAAAAATTATTCCAACTTTAGGAAAAATCATCAATTTCACCAATTTAATGCAGCTCACATATTAATTTCTTTTGAACTCCAAGCAGAAATCTTTAATTTCTTGATTTTTTATAATATATTTACTAAAAAGACCATTTTGTTTCTTGGGATCAGCTTTTAATCATGTTATAATACCATATAATGATCTTATTTAATACAATTCATTAAGGCAATTTTCATAGAATTTTCCATATAACTAGATAATTTATACTAACATTTAAATTATGCGCATTCTCTACCTTGAAATAACAAAGGTTTTTTATCGCAGTTTTGAAAAATTGAGAAGTTTATTTTCAACCTTCTATCAAAAAATTGGAATCCGAAACCTTACGAAATAAGGCTTCATATTTTTTTCTCCATCCTAATTCATGATAGGATTTATTATATTTTTTTAGTTGACGATATCTTTTGCCAAATCTGACAGGCAAAACAGTTGAATTCAAATCAAAATACACTAAATTATAATATATAAGTTGAATACTTCTTAATTTAAGACAATTTTGTTTTGAATATAATTTGATATCTGTCATAATCATTTTTTAAAAATGCTTGCCCTCACAGCTTGCATTAGAATCAATGACCGTATTAGGCCATTTAGATATCAGCACAACGTAGAGGATGATGACAACTGGAAGAAGACATTCCACACAAAGTATGGCGATTTCGAACTTGACTTCGAATATAACGATTATGAAGAGGATGATGATAACTGGAAGAAGACATTCCATACAAAGTATGGCGATTTCGAACTTGACTTCGAGTTGAACGACGAAGAGGATGATGATAACTGGAAGAAGACATTCCATACAAAGTATGGTGACTTCGAACTTGATTTTGAATTAAATGATGAAGATGAAGACAACTGGCAGAAGATTTTCCACACAAAGTATGGTGACTTCGAGCTTGATTTCGATTACAATGAAGATGAAGACGAAGACAACTGGCAGAAGATTTTCCATACAAAATATGGTGACTTCGAGCTTGATTTCGATTACAATGAAGACAAATCTGTTGATGATGATAACCTCAAGATTGGTCTCTACTACAAGCTTCCAGGATCATGGGGTAAGATTGGCTTCTCATATGAACTCAACGAAGAGGAATATGATGACGATGACAACCTTAAATTAGGTCTCTACTACAAGCTTCCAGGATCATGGGGCAAGGTCGGCCTCTCATACGAACGTAATGAGGAAGAAGAGCTTGATGATGACAACTTAAAGCTTGGCATCTACTATCACCTTCCAATCTCATTAGGAAAGATCGGCATCTCATACGAACTCAACGAAGAGGAATATGATAACGATGACAACCTTAAATTAGGTCTCTACTATAAGCTTCCAGGATCATGGGGCAAGATTGGTCTCTCATACGAACGTAATGAGGAAGAAGAATATGATGATGATAACCTCAAAATCGGAGCTTACTACCACCTTCCAAAGTCATGGGGAAAGATCGGCATCTCATATGAACGCAATGATTACGAGTATGATGATGACAACCTCATGGAACGCAAACCATGGATTATCCGTCCATATCAACCAAAGATGTGAAGAATGTTTAAAAACATTTTCTTCATTAATCATTTCATTCTTTTTATAATTGAGATTTGCGATATTTATCTAATACTAATAGATGCATCAAAATATTCTTTTAAGCAGTAGAATTGCTCCATATCCTTGAAATAAATAGATTTATAGTAGCAATATAACAATAGTTTATGAATTTACACCTGATTTTTAAGTTAAGTAATTTGTATGAAGGATCATTAAAATTGATATATAAGCATTCATTATAAAGCTTGTACTCATTGATCTTATGAAAATTTATCTCTGAGTTATTGAGCAACAACTCATTGGCTTGGAAAAATCATTACGAAATAGTTTGAATTGAACCCGAAACTCATTCCATGTATCGGCCGTCAATATCATCTGAATCTGTTTTATAAGCTATGTATACATGCGTGAGCATAACGATCTTTTAAGAATGTTTTGACTATGAATCAAATTTTCATCACATGACATATTCATTTTTAGAATATTGATTGATTCTTATTGCTTTCTTGAATCCAATATAGTTTAAAAGAGGATGAAGGTAAATTGTTAATTTTTTTTTGCCAATTTTCGAAATTCTTTCTAGAATTGTTGATTTAAAATAGTTATAGGGATTAAAATACACATGAACAACAAATATATTTTACAAATAGACAAACAATAACAAAGAAAATATTTTTTTTATGATTCATACTCAAGAGTATATTTTAGGGAATCTGTCGAATCATAAGAACTTCCATATGAAAATAGATATGATGACAAGTTCGAAACATAATTATTCCAGCAACTTTGGATTTCAAATCTTTCTATTGCTGAATAAGGTTCAACTGACTTATAAAATGAAAGACTTCGGTTAATATTTTGCTTTTCGGTAATCGAGAGGCCTTTCGTATATTCATTTATTTTAGAATTCAGATCTTCTGAAACTGTGAATCGTTTGTTTGAAAAATCACGTAGCTTAGAAGATTTCACGCATATTAATAGCGATAAGAGTTGAGTTTCTGATGAAATAGGGTATAACTTTGAGGATTGCAAAATTTTAACCATAAATTCATAAGGAAACCTTTCTTTCTTGTATGCGATACGGAAAAGTGGGAAAATAGGAGCAATTGCTAAACTATATGGATTGGTTTGTGCGATAATTTCGCTATCATTGACTAATTTATCTAATTGATCAACTAGAAAGTAATATGGCACCACAACACTAAGCAACACAGGAAACCCAAATTTTGTTGCTAAATTATAAATGCATTCTACATTTTCATCATTAATAAGTAAACTTTCTCCATTTATATAGTTTGAAAATGCTAAATACGAACTATAATCTGCAAAAATAGTATCTTTAAGGTTAATTATGTCTATGTTTGGTTTCGAATCTAAATATTTTTTAAATCGGGGCGAAAGTTTAGCAAGAACGGATCTTTTACATGAAAATTCATAATGAGAAGTCTTAATTGTAACTGAGCTAAAGTTTTCATCTGGAATATATCCATGGGGATGCACTCTAATCCTCAAATTTATACTTTTCCGAATCTCCATAGATTTGGTAGTCACTTTTTTGATGATGAATCAATTTTTGTCAATTCACATCAGAAGAATCTAAATTTGTTGGATCACAATATAAACCTTCCTCCAAGCAGTGATTGAAGGATCAATGATCTGAAGCTTTAAAAGAAAGCTCTGACATTTAGATGAATCAGCTGTGGGTAACAAAGCCAAAAATCAATTCAAAAAATTAGACAGATGGATTGTATGATTAAAGTTTATTATAGTTTATAGTTTTTGGAATAATTTTAACAAATATCACGTGTAATTTCAATAATATTTTGTGCTTAATCATAATTTTCTAATTTTTATACATGACAATGCTGAAGTCCTACATTTGAGGGCAAGATTATCTTTTGAAACCAAACTTTTTGAAACAAAAATTATCATTATATAACACAGAAATTAAACAACTCTTGGAGTGGGGATCGATCAAATGATATGCTATCCAATCATTTTCCATAAATGACACTTTTCTTTCAAAAAAACCGGATAAAACTATTCTTTATAAAATACGCATTTTTGGATGAAAAAGCATATGTACGTAACAACTAATATAACGATAGTTTAATATTATACAATATTTAAATCAAACAAGTTTAATTATAAGGATATTTCTCAAATTTGTAATCAATGAAGCTAATATTAGGTTGTGGAGGCGGGAAGTTTCCATTCCGAATATAGAAAACAGTAACATCAAGTCCATTCATGAATTTTGTTTCATTTACAGATTCTTTTTTCTTGTGATGATAGAAATTAAAGTTAAAAACAACAACTAACTTCACATCCATAGCAGGCATCATTCCATAATTGGAAAGGTCCCAGAATTCAGTGTTGACAATGTAAATTATGGTTTTTGCAGCCATAAAAATGCATTTGAACACGGTACTACCATTGGCCATAACAACGGCCTTGAAAGTCGAATATAACTTAGCGTAATTTTTCAAACTTGACGTCTTATCTTTCATATACTCCCAATGAATGTCCGGATACTTGACAAGAGCTAATTTGTACAACTCCTTCATATTCTGAATAATTCTCTTATTGAATCTGTTGACAAAAACGCACCTGGTCGGAATTATTTTTTCTAAATCCATTTTATTGCGCAAGTACTCATGAAGCTTATATGCTCCCATACCAAAATGACCACTGTGAGGTCTAGGATGAGTTGCGAGTAAGACATGTTCGCAATATACCCATAATGAGTTTCCAAGGTAAAGAACGCGATCATCACCGTAACCAAGCAGCTGCATAAACTCTCTAATGTATCTTGGCCCTATAGGAACAATAATTGTAGCATTCTCCATTACTTCATCTGGAGTCATTACGAGAGGTATCATATAATCATGAACGAAATGACCGTAGTTGTATCTAACGAAGAGATGTCCAAACAAAATACCATGAGAAATGTTTGTTACATGATATCCTTCTTTGAATATGTTCAACCATATAGGACCAGTGCAAAAAGTATGTTCAATTATATTTGTATTGTTAATAATGCATCCATTGTTATTCACGTAGACATTTTTATAAAGTGTATAACGACATGTGAAGTTACTCCAATAGTTTATCATCGATTTCTCTCCAAAGTGTGGCGGAATCGTAGTATAGCCTTTAGAATGTGTATCATTGTAATTAAATAATTCTGCGGGTTCATCGAACCAAAAAACCATGTTTGTGCGTGGTGGATCGAATGTGATGTTGAAGTTATATTGTTTTTCGATATTTACATCACCTTCACCATATACAACAGGAAGATGCTTTATGAAAGGCGGTCCGAAAAATAAAGTTTCGCAAACAGCAACAGGATATAGAAAATCTCTTATACTCAGCAATATATACATGAAAATGAAGAATAACGGAATACACTCGTTTATCGAAAGCCTTTTCTGCCTTAAGGGTGCGCCCGGGAGGATCATGTAAACTTCAGAATTTAGAACCTTAATTTTTAAGCAATAACTTGGTACCTAAATAGGTAGGAAAACTCTAAAAATATCAAAAAATACAATTTGGCTCCATAATAATCCTGTCATGGTGGCTGTTTGTATCACCTAGTATTTTCCTCTTGAATCTCTTTTTCTGTCGAAATTAAATTCAAATCTCAGAAGTAGAAGTGAATAATCGACTTATTACTGCTATTATACGAATAAATAAATTCATTATATTATTTTTATTTACATAATATCTGTTTGAAGTCCATAATTCTATAAATTTTTCTTCAAAAACATTACAATCTTGATAGTTTTGATACTGTTTAATAGGTTTTTGGCACCTTATTTAGTATTTACTACGTATAGAGTCGATCTGAACTTAATTTTCGGAAATTTAAAATATTTATTATAAGTAAAATCTGATTTGAAATTTATGTTTAACTACTCATATCTTGCATTATCCTGAGTAGCTTTTGTAAAAATTGATCAAAAAAGATTTTAACGTGCTTTAATTTTTATTTTTTAAAATAATGCATATTATTATATAACTAGCATATTTACAAATTTTAGTGCTTTCAAAAATTTAATCCTCATGCTCTCAAATAAACGTACATCCAGGTGGCCTGTTTTTTGCAAAAAATAAAATTTCATTTTTTATGCTTAAAAAGTCAGAATTTTTATTTGCTTCTGGGATATATGATGGCTATATCAGATGCCCATTCTTTTTGATACTCAACATTAAACATAAAACTTAGCCGTTAAGGCTCTTCTGAAAATATTTTTTTTTCCGAAAAATTTTCGAAAAAAATCAAAAAATTTAAAAATCCCCGAATCTGCAGGGATTTTAAAAAATTCTTTTTAGTAAAACTTAAGGATATTGTATCAGATATATTGGTATGGGCAAATTCAATTTTAATCCAATATTCATCGAGATATTAAGTTAACGAAGCTTTCAAAATTGAGAGGGTAATCCTCCTCCTCTCAAATAAACGTACATGCGGGTGCACCCTTAATATATGAGACTCTTCAAACATAATTTGTATGTTATTGCACGCCCGTAAAAACAAAATTTTCTCAAGTAGTTTGAGTCCAAAAACTGATTTAACTACCATAGAATATGCTAGAATACATCCCGAAATTTCAATTGTGATCTATTTTGAATATCTCAAAATTTGAGACATCCAATTGAAAACAAGGAAAGTATTTTCATTTGGGAATAAAGGTATTTATGATCAAAAATAGGCTTCTTTCCCCAAAGGTGATCAGAAATAGAAAGGAGCTTTTACGATCGTATCTCAATAATGATCGCAATTGAAAATAAAATTGGTCACTTTTTAAAATTTTTTAAAAATGTTCTTTTTTTTTACCTAAATCTGATAACAATGATAATATTACATATTGATGAAATACTGATATTTTCTTATTTGGTCGATATCGATATAGAAGCTTTTTAGATAGATTTTATAGAATTTGAGGAAAATAAGATATAACTGTTTCAATGTTTCCCAGAATGACAAATTGCAACCGACATGAGTGCAAAACACACTCATGTCGGTCAAAGTTCTGCAATCACATTCTTGATTGCGGAAGATTGTCTCATTCTGGGAGACATACAGTGTCAATGTCTCCCAGAATGACACATTGCGACGGACAGGAGTGCATATGACACTCTTCTAGGCCGCAAAAGTGACATCGAGATTTAACTGATGGAAAAATCATGAAAAATCCATCAATGAAAAAGTGACAAAAATTCAATATAAATGGAAGAAATTCTTAGTGATCTTCAACCATTCGAAATTATAAGTAATGGTAAAGATCTAAACACACCAACCGTCAAGTCTTCTGATAGATTTTACTTTATTCAATCAAAAAAAGCTTTTCAAAACTTATTGCGTTCTGAAAAGAACAATCAAATAGGAAAACTAATATTTGAAAACTTCAAATCAGAACACAAGCCTTCGATCAACGCAGTAGAACCCTTAAAAACTTACTTTGCTCAAAATTATGACAAAAATCGAACCAAATTTCAACCAGGGCAAGAGCCATATAAAGGAATCAATGAGCAAATTGAACAAATTGGAGCGTATCTACACCAAGAAATTGAATACGAACAATCAATTTTTACAAATATTTCAATTCCTCACTACAACAAAAAAGACTTTCTTAAACACTCTAACTTGGATGACAAAGACCCAGATCCTGCTGATATTGTGACCTATGTAGAAGAAGATCCAAAGCCAATCGAAAACGAACCTGAACAACAACAACAAACCACTTCAATCCTGGTCCAAGAAACACCAAACGAAACAAAAGAGCAAACCAAAGAAATACAAGAACAAACCAAAGAAACACAAGAACAAACCAAAGAAACACAAGAACAAACAGAAGAAAAACAAGATGAAACAGAAGTTAAGCAAGAGCAAACCAAAGAAATACAAGAAGAAACCAAAGAAACACAAGAACAAATCAAAGAAACACAAGAACAAATCAAAGAAACACAAGAACAAATCAAAGAAACACAAGAACAAATCAAAGAAACACAAGATGAAACAGAAGTTAAGCAAGAGCAAACCAAAGAAATACAAGAACAAACCAAAGAAACGCAAGAACAAACCAAAGAAACACAAGAACAAATCAAAGAAACACAAGAACAAACCAAAGAAATACAAGAACAAACCAAAGAAACACAAGAGCAAACCAAAGAAACACAAGAACAAACAGAAGAAAAACAAGATGAAACAGAAGTTAAGCAAGAGCAAACCAAAGAAATACAAGAAGAAACCAAAGAAACACAAGAAGAAACAGAAGTTAAGCAAGAAGAAACAGAAGTTAAACAAGAACAAACAGCGGATAAACCAAAGAAGCCAAGCAAACCAACTCAAAAGAAATCAGGTCAAACATCTAAATCAGGTCAAAAGAAATCAGGTCAAACATCTAAATCAGGTCAAAAATCTAAATCAGGTCAAAAACCTAAACAAAAGAAAGACAATTTTCTCCAGCAAATGCTTGCTTCAGGGGGTACTCGCAAGTGAACTGACCCTCTCAATTTTCCCAAACTTAGAGAGTACTAAAGTGCCTAAATAGCATACTTATCTGAACTTTCTCTTAACCTTTAAAATACCACATATACAAGTAAGTTAATTTTTAAGCAAGTTTATGAAAAGAGGTCTTTTTCATGAAATTTGCAATTATCTTGCATTTTCCGGAAAAATCCTACCTTTAGCAACTTGTGAGATTTTGATTCTGCTCTGGCCATAGATAAGGACTGCCTTACTCCGGCCTTCAGATACGAAGTATTTCCTCCGGAAAAGTGAACTTTATAGCATTTCGAAGCTGACCTTTAGTGGGCTCTCCGAGCCATGTGAGGTGACTTTTTTTGATTTATGAGAAAAGAATCAGATATATAAAATACTGAATATCTCCGTATTAATTTTCTTTTTTCATAATTTCAATTTTTTGTTTCATTTGAATTTTAATACTGGTGTAATTGCCATGATATTGCACCTATGCAATTCCTTTTAGATCTTTATCTTAAAAATTCAACTCATGATACTTCCTTTTGGAAAAATAGAATATTTATTTTAAATGAAACTTCCTTAATAAAGATTAATACAATATTTCAAATGTAATACAATCAAAATTCATAAACACATATGTGCCGGCGTCAAAGTTAATAGAATTTGCAATTCGTATTTCACTGTTGCCATACTTTCAAATATTAATATTACTGAGTAATATGACTTCTAAAATGAATCATGGATAGGCTTAAAAGCAAATCACAACAAATAATGTGAATTTATTTCAAACATATTGAATAACAATCCATTTTAAATAAATAATAACTAGGGAAAATGTAATAGAATGAAAATAATGCAGTATTAGTTCTCAAAAATCTTTTAAAAATGAAAAAATGGTGTAATTATATTGTTTTGTATATTTAATAAGTGATTATGAAAAAAATATTGAAGGCTAACGCATTTTGTTTTGTATATTTAATAAATGTTTATTCATCTGTTAGATTATTTTAAAATAGAAATTTACAACAATAATTTTGCGAAAGCAATTATCTAAACTCTACAAAGCTTAGTAGCTTTTTATGTAGACTCAATATTTTTGAATATTTACTGGTCAAATCCTAAGGTTTCCGTATAATTTATTTGCAATGAGATTTAATGACGAACAAAAAGTTAGAATCCGAGCCCAAGACTTCGCTCAAATAATTGGCTTGGACAATAGGTTTAAATGAACCCAAGTTGTATTTTTTCGAAATTTTTTGCTTTCGAGATGAAAAAAAGCTAGGCTTTCCACAAAATGTGAGCTGATTGACGATACAAACGGTTTGGTCGGAGAATCCCCTTCAAAGAAGTAACATAAAAATAATATTTTATTTTTTCTTCGATTACTACTATTATTAAATGTTTGAATACTTAAAAAAATAGTGTTTTGGTTTAATCATTTTTTTTTTAATTTCAATAAATCAAACATAAATTTTAATATAAAAACATAAAACAAAAGAACAAACGCAAACATCACTTCTTTCCTTTGAAAAATGAGAAAGCTTGAGAAATAACTTGATTTGATTCGGCATAACATCTCTGAGCGGCCGTAATCTGATCATTAGTACAAGACACAAGTTTAAGAATGACAGGGATTAATGCTTCTCGTTCTGAAGCATCTTTTGTGAAGAATTGTAACAAAACTTTTCGAATATAGTCAGGGAATAAGGCAGTGTTAGCTGTATTAGCTGTAACTTGTCCTCTGTCTTTCTCTATTGCATTAATTTTCTTCTTTAATGTTAAAATTTCTTCATCTAAAATTTGAATCTTTTTATCTGAAGAATTTTTAGCAATTTCAAGTTGCTTGTTCGATTTAATATACTTAGCAACCTTCATTTTCTCTTCTTCAAGTGTATCTTCTGCTTCTTTTAATTTAATTTCAGAATTCTTCAATTTTTCTTGAAGATCTTTGTATTTTGTTTCGATATCCTTAAGAAGAGATAATTTCGCTGTACTTTCATTGACCTGGTCTTGCAAATTCTGAATTGTCAAAGAAAGTGAGTTAATTGTGCTGTTTTTCTCATTATCTGTCTTCTCTAATGACTGAATTATCTCATTCAGTTGGTTTTCTCTCTTTTCAAAGCTCTCTTGGTCCAATTCTGCTTGCTTATTTGCATTTTCCAAATTTGATTTGATTTCTTCGAGTTCTTCTTTAGTACTGTTGAGTTCATTCAGTGCTTTATGATAATTAACGAGTTCTTCCTTCATAATTTTCCTTTCTTCCTTTAAATTTGAGTTTTCTTCACTTAATATCTTCTTTTCTGCTTCAGCAGCTGTTCTGAGCTTGATTTCGTTATCAAGGGTAGCTATTCTCACTTTGTATGACTCGTTTTCGGACCTTAATGGTATTAATTCGTCAGATTGCATCTGAATAATTTTTGATAACTCGTCATTCTTAGTTTTATATGAAGAAAGTTGGTCATCGAAGTTCTGCTTCTCCTTCTCAAGCATTTGCAGCTTCTGTTGGCTCTGCTGCGCCTGTTGTTTGTCATTTTCTCTCATTTTGTCAATTTTTTGGGTCATTTCCGTGATACTTGAGTCTTTTTCTATGAGAAGTTCGTCTATTCTCTTCTTCTCTGACATTAGTTTGGCAACATCTGCTTGTAAAGCTTCATTTCTTTGGTTCAAAATTTGGATTTGATTCTGTAAATCAGAATTGGCTTGGTTTAGTGAGTCAATGACCTTTTCGTATTGTTCTGACTTGATTTTAAGGTCGGAATTACCTGTTAACAGTGAATTTTTCAGAGAATCAAATTCAATTATTATTTTCTCTTTTTCATTTAACGAATTTTGGGCAGTATTAAGGCTGTTTTGAAGATTCTCATTATCACCCTTAAGTAAATTAACTTGGTTTGTTAAATTTTGTACAATTTCATTAAATTTTTCTTCTTTTACTTTGTTTTCTTGCTTAATTTGAGTGGTATCTTTATCGTATTTATCGTTTAAAAGTGAAATTTCCTTTTGGAGCTGATCAATTTTCTCTAATTGCATGACTATTTGAGATTGTCCTTCTCCTGAGGATTGAAGAGCTTTTTGTGCCTCTTCTTTGAACTGTTGCAACGATTCTATTGATTTTTGTTGCGATACTTTTTCATTTTCCAAGTTTTTGATTTGCTCTGTCAAATTTGATATTTGTAGCTTATAATTAGTAATTTCGTTTTGGGAACTTATATAATTAGAATTGAGGCTATCTTTTTCTGTGGTTATTGCGCTCAATTGCTCACTCTTTTGTGAAATTTCATTTTTCAAATCTTCAATTTGTTTATGCAATTGTCTTCTTTCGTTATTAAACTCTTGAATTAGCTCTTCAGACATAGGCTCTTGTGGATTTTGCTCAGCTGAAGTCGTTTGATTATTTTCTAATTCTAATTTTGATTGTTCTAGTGATTCAATTTGTGATTTATAGCCTTGTATTTGTCTATTTAGATCTTCTCTAATAGAAATAAGTTCTGAAATGCTTTTGTTACGAACTTCTATCATTTGATCTCTTTCAGCGAGGCCATTTTGCAATAATTCGCAATTCTTTTGGCTTTTCTCAAGATTTTGCTTCAATGATTTGTTCTTTGTAAGTAGCTGCATATATCCTTCTTTGAGCTTTTCATAAGGGACTTCTTTTTCACTCATTATTTTATGATGAAAAATAGCTAATTAAGACAGTATATAACAGTACACTTATAATTCGTTACATGATAATCTGATTTGAAACATAATATCAAATGATATTAATCTTAATTAGGTAATAATCAAAAATTATCATTATGTATCTCATTACTTTGATGTGAACTGTAAGCTCTCCTCTTGAAAGTACCATTAATATGAATGACTTCGATGATGATGTGAAAATCAAAGACATTGAAGTTGAACTTTCAACAAGAGACTATGATGCAATCAAATATATTAACACAGCTATTCCTGATAGTTCAGCTATTTCTACAATCAATGTTCTTTCCAAACATATTAATCAAAAGCTTGAAAAAACTACAGAAAACATTAACGAAGATATAAAGCAATACTCGAAACTTGATGCAGCAGATAAGAATCTACTTGCAAATACTCACGAATCTATTTCTGATTTGTCGAAACGAATTGATCAAATAAAAGTTCAAGCGCAAGATACAGAAACTGCAATCAAAAAGATATGTGCAGACATAGAGCCATTACATCGTGCCAAAAATAATCTCCTAGCTACAGTAACAACTCTTCGCCGATTACAAATGATGGTAACATCAATATCAGCACTCGAAAAACATATTCAAGCAAAAAATTACGCAGAATGTGCACCAAATGTGTTAGCTTTGACTACTTTAGTCGAAGATTTTAAAAAATTTGAAAAAGCACCTCAATTATCTCCATTAATTACCAAATTCTACGATCTTAAGCGCTATTTACGTAATCAAGTTAATACAGAGCTCGATTATCGTTTATTTGGCGGAAAACCAGACGAATCTAACCTCGCTGTTTGCGCGGTCGTTGATTCATTTGCTGATGATTTCAGATCTTCAACGATAGATTGGTTTTGTGATAAGTTTCTTTCTTGTTACGATGACGCTTTTGAAGGAACGGATCTTTCTGAAGCCCAAAACAGATTCAGATGGTTCAAGCAAAGGCTCATTATATATAATAACCAGTTTTCTCAATGTTTTCCTTCAACTTGGAGAATGCAGTACTGGATAACTTTATCTTTCTGTCAAAGGACTTGCCAGCAGTTCAAATACATTTTACAACAACAGAAACCATCAACAAAACAGTATTTGAACGCTTTTGAAATGACCGTAAAATTTGAATCAAAAATGAGCGAATCTTTTGCCACAATTGAGCTGGTACCTTACGATCCTGATGCTCCGATGCCAGATTTCCCTCAAACGGCCGAAGGAGTTCGTCAGAAACATGAATGGCTTCAAAGAATGAAAGAGAAAAGAGGGACAACGAAAAAAGTGTTGGCAACCAATTTCATTGGATCAATTGCCGCAGCATTTTCTCCTTACATGCAGATTTACATCGATTCAGAAAAATTAATTCTGACAAAGATCATTCAAGAGGCCCAAAACAATATTACAAATGATATTGATGAAGAAGAGAAAGAAATGAACAGCGCGAGACTCTTAATTATTGCGATGAAAAAATCTCTTGAAAAATGTGCCGGATTTGGTGTTGAAAAGACTACTTTAGAGCTCTTTGCCATGCTTAGAGATTTAATTGTGTCTTATTCGGCAGGAATGACCAAATTATTACCCAAAAAATTTAAAGATGAAATAAATGTTAAGTTAACATGCGCCATTGCTAATACCACATCTACATTGCTTGAAATATTAGACTCATTAGCTACAAAAGTAATAGAAATTACTAGTGATGGCAAAAAAGTCACAGTTGATGAAGCAAAAAATCAAATTTCAGAAGAAATTAAGAAACAAATTTTGCATATAGCTGATACATTTATAAAAGAAAGCGAATCTTCATTGATATCCATTGGTAACAACAGTTGGACGGGATCAGACAAATTACCATCGAAATTATTAGAATTATTTAGTTCAAGGTTCGGAATAATTTCGGAATGGTTAAATCCAATGAACATGAACAGACTCAGATCAGTTCTCACACAGAAAGTTGTAGCAACAATAAGAGATTCTGTGTATAGAACTCACAACATTAAAATTGAATCTGCTTCTAAAATATATATGACATTAGGAAATACCAAAGAAACTATTGCTTATTGGACAAATTGTGACAGCGCCAGCGCTAGAAGAAGATTGGATTATGACTTTGCAAGGTTAGAGAATGATTTAACTGTTTTGTGTTGCCCAGAAATGGCAATGACTGTTACTTATCTTGGAAAGACTCCAACAAAGAATAAAGACCAGTTCATGGCTCTCGTTCGATTAAAGGGTTTAGGTCCTCAAGCAGAGGCTCAATTATCTCAAGAATATGACCAACAACTTCCTTTGTTTACAGAAAAATAAAGTTTTGTTTTATTTACTTTTTTTATTATTATAATTACATATATTTTATATTGGAAGATAATGGCATAACATTTCTTTGATCTACGATAAAATCCATTGATCATATTAATTAAAGTTTAGAAATTTTGATGATATATTGCATAATCATATTCTCGTTTTCTATCATTGTATAAAATGAGCAAAAAGAAAAAATAATCCAAATTCAATATCATTTGAGGAGGAGTGTATATATAGAGAAATTACCAACACATTTTTTAACATTATACAGACCAAATAACTCATTTTGCCAAATACCGCTTACTAGCACATAAATATGTGGTTAATTTTATTTTGGTGACAAATATTCAATTTATTCTAGTTTTCAAATAAGATTAAAATTATGAATGATCAATTCAAATTGACAAAAAATATTCTTTCACAGATCCTTTAGCGACGTCAAAGGCAGTTCGTCCATCATTTGTCTTTGCTTCCTTATCGGCTCCAACAGATATAAGATATTTAGCAATTTCAAGATGACCAATAGCTGATGCTTTTATGAGTGGAGTCCATCCATATTTATCCTTTGCTTCTTTATTAGCTCCAATAGAGACAAGATATTTAACAACTTCAAGATGACCATAGAATGATGCTTCTATGAGTGGAGTAGATCCTATATTATCCTTTGCTTCTTTATTAGCTCCAATAGAGACAAGATATTTAACAACTTCAAGTGCACCACCGAATGATGCTTTTATGAGTGGAGTAGATCCAATATTATCCTTTTCCTCTTTATCTAGTCCTTCAGAGATAAGATATTTAACAACTTCAAGATGACCACTTCTTGATGCCCAACCGAGTGGAGTCATTCCATTTTTATCCCTTGTTTCTTTATTAGATCCGATAGAGATAAGATATTTAACAACTTCAAGATGATTATAACCTGATGCCCAACTGAGTGGTGCATTTCCATCTTTATCCCTTGCTTCTTTATTAGCTCCAATAGAGATAAGATATTTTACAACTTCAAGATTGCCATTACCTGATGCCCAAATGAGCGGAGTATTTCCATAATTATTATCATTTGCTTCTTTATCACAACCACATTCAATAAGTGATTTAACAAGTTTGAGATTTCCTTTCTCACATGCTGCATGAAATACATTCTTCTCAGATTTAGCATCATCTTTTTTAGGCATAGTCTTTTTCCAAAGTTCTTCTTCATATGATTTTAACATCATTTCCTGATTTCCTTGCTCTGAAAGTTCATCAAAGAATTTGTAAACGGAATCAAAATCATTAGAGTTCTTAAGTTCAGCGATTTTAGTCAAAATATCTCTTGAATGATTGTTATTTTCATTAGTTTGACTTTGATTTTGAAATCTGTTAATTGCCGTCGTAAAATCACTTATTATTTTCTCCCTTTGATTTAAGACATCAATAATTCCATCAAATATATTGAATTTCATGTATTTTTTGAGAGAATTCAGAATTGAAACAATTTCTTCGACATTTTGGATAGTAACATTTGTTTTTCGTGTACATACATATAATGCTTTAGCATCAATAGTTGATGAAGATTGTTTGAGAAGAGTAACGTACTGATCAGCTGTCAATTGTGAATATTTCATGATTGTTTTGATATCTCCGATCTCAAAAGTATCGAAGAAGTTTTCATTCTTAATGTAGTCGCTGATATGAGCGGCAATGTATTCGAAATCCAGATTCATGACCTGATTCTTTTTTGAAATGTCGTAATTTTACAAAAAATCAGATCAAATTTAACTAGAATTGCTAATATACTCTTTTTCACCCAATCAATTTTTTTCCACTATTCAATTTTTTTTGGCAAACCCAAATTTTAGCTAAAAGTGAAAGGGGAAAAAAACGTTTAGTATTAAAAAAAAAGACCGATGAGAGCTTCGTTCGAAATATAGAGGGAACTGAGAATGCGCAACCATTCTCAGGGAATATTGGATGCTATTCCCGTTCCCTCTGTATGGAAAATTGAGGTTTTCAAAGGGAGTTAAAATAATATCAAATTTATACTAATTTACTTCAAAATACAAAAGTATTTGACAGCTAAAATTAGTTACTTTAGCAAGCCTATCAATACCCTTTTACGATTATTGCTACTTTTTCGAAATAAAAGTAAAAACAAATTTATACTAATTTACTTCAAAATACAAAAGTATTTGACAGCTAAAATTAGTTACTTTAGCAAGCCTATCAATACCCTTTTACGATTATTGCTACTTTTTCGAAGTAAAATAAATTTATTATCAAAAAACTTTTTTTTTCTTAGTAAAAATAAACGAAATTTTTTACCTTATGAACTTTTGATGGAAATATGCAAATTTAAAATAATAAAGAAAGCCGCGAGCGAAGCGATCGGCTTAGTTCGAAGATTTTGATTCAAATCTTTGCTGATCTGTAATTCGCGGAAGCCGCGAGCGAATCGAGCGGCTTAGGTCTAAAATTTTGATTCAAATCTTTGCTTATATTCCTTAAATTCTTTATGAAACTCGCAACAGTTCCATAAAAAATTTTAAATTCTAAACTGTCGAAAGTACCGATCGGTAATCACACCCTTCACGGGTGTGTCACTTTTTACAAGTGCGTCACTTTTAGCTAAAATTACCCCTACTCTTTTTTTCACTCTTCTTCTTGATATTTTTTACATCTCAAATAATAGATAATGATAAATACATGCTATAATAGTACAAGTAATTAAAAATATCGATTCTAATATTATTGAAAGATCCAAAGTATGGAAACAGTTCATTTTTGTAAATTAATGAGTCAAGAGCTTACTCAGAATTTTGAATATATTGCAGCCAACATCAAAGATTATATTGATGAAAATAAGTTGTTTGATACTTTCGAAGTAGAAGATATTGAAAAAATCATGAAGTTTGCAAATTTTACAACAAATGACTTCACTACTCTTCTGAAACAATCACAACCTACAGTCGATGCAAATACATTATATATGTGTATTCGGAATACGCATATTACACTACATAATTATGAAGATGTCATTTCAATTTTGAAATCAATCAAAAATTACCTGAAACTTGCATTACTTGATGGTGTTATTGATTTTTTAATACAATCACAAAAAGATGGATCTAATTCTTCAGAAGAAATACAAAAACTTCAAAAAGAATTAAAAACAATTCAAGATCAAAAACAGCAAAATGACAATGACATAGAATTACTCAAATCTCAGGTTAGTCAAATTTCTGAAGAACGCAACATGTTAAAGAGAATCAATAAAATTATTGTTGATCAAAACATTCCGAAAAGATTTCTTAAAGAAATAGAAAAACTTAAGAGTTCTGATGATTTTGAACGCGTCTACAAGTTCTTTGATGGGCATTCATCTAAAGAGAATGAAATTGTAATTTATAAAGCATGTGAGGAAGGACTTTGGGAAAAGACACTCGAAATATGTTATTGGCAAGAACCAGAAAATGTACTTCAAGTTGCATGCGATAGAGGAAATCTCAGACTTGTTGAATCTCTGATTGAATGTGGCTGCGATAAAGAGATAAAAGGATTTAAATTAAAAGAAACTCCACTCATGCATGCCACGCAAAATAATAATCTTGAAGTTGTAAAATATCTTGTCTCGATTGGAGCTAACAAAGAAGCAAAGGATCGTGGTGGTGAAACTCCACTTCTTTTGGCATCAAAAGAAGGCTTTCTTGATATTGTCCAATATCTTGTCTTAGCTGGCGCTGATATAGAGGCAAAGGATAATGGTGAATGTACTCCATTCCTTTTGGCATCATATTTCGATCATCTTGATATTGTGAAATATCTTCTCTCAGTTGGGTCTAATAAAGAAGCAAAGGATAGAGATGGAAACACGGCTGTCCAGATTGCAGGTATCAAAGTAAGAGAATATCTAATGGGAGGTAATTGAATAAAGTAGTTTAAAACGCAAGAATTAGCTAATAAAGGTAGCTGACAAAACAACATGCCACCTCTCAAGTTATGAATTAAAAAAAAGTATTTTCGAAAGCTTCTCAATTTTTCTATGAGTTCTCTCAAATTATATTAAGTTCGGAAATCTTATAAATATGAAATAGCCGTTCATTAAAACTACATATTCTCGATATATCTCTCAAATAAAGACATACACTTGCAATGATTTATTTTTGAACAAGCGTTTTCAATCAATTTCACTGAAGATTTCGAATTCAACAAAATAGCTTCATGCGCACAATCTTCGGTTATATATTACTTTTAGCAAATTTAGTCATTTTTCAATATTGTTGAAAAATTGAAAATAACGTGAATGACATCATCCCCTAAAAGGAGCAGTTCTTCACGATCAATAGATAGTATTGGATCTTCTATTAGTAATATTGAACATCAATTTACAAAATACAAAGATCACGCAAATATTTTATTTAAATCTTTCGATTCAAATGGAAAGCAAATCACTCTTCAATCATTATTAGATAAGATCAACCTCATAAAGATTAATCTCAATCAATTAAATGCGAATTCTCAGCAGCAAAGCGTTCATATTCCTTCCCAAATCAAGAAGTTACACGCTGATATAAAATTAGAAACAGAATCATTAAACCTACTTATCCAAGATGCAATTTCACAGATTAAATCCGGAAATACAGATCTTAAAAATAAATTAGCGTATGTTTTAGCAGAACAAAGTAATAAACTCACATTAGAGCAGTACCAACAGTATAACACGCGCATAGAAGCTGATGAAAAGTCATTAAAATCATTAGATTCATCGGTTGAAAAATATCAAAAATCGGTAGAAAAAGAAACAGACTTAATTTCTCCGGAAGTTGCGAATGAAGTCAAAAATAACATAGATGATATCAAAAAGAACGTAAGCAAGATTCAATTTCGAAATCTGGAATTAATAAATCCCGAACTTGATCAAAGCATCGAAAATGATATAGAAAAGTTATCTAAATCTTATTACAATTCGCAAGTTGAGCTTCAGAACTTACAACAAAAATTAAACACAATTGAAAACTATTCAAGCTTACTAAATGATCGAACAGCAATCATTATACGTATCAGAGAATTAAAATTAGAAATTAAGCAGTTTATGGACAAAATCCAAAAGTTTTCTTCGAAAAATTCCCAAAATGTAGAAGATATCTTGAAATCATTCAGGAAAATAGAGAAAAGCATTACTGAAACACAAAATAAGATTGATGTTGAATGTTCAAATGCTACAGAAACTAACGTTTATAATTATTTTTCAGAATTAAGAAAATTTATGCAAGAATGGAAAGAATCATTAGATGCAATTGGCTCACAAATGTCACAAGTCATCCCACGAACTGTTATCACCAGAAGTTTTGCAGATGTAGAACGACACGAAAATGGAATCAAAGAAATCATCAGAAAAGCTCAAGAAGACCTTGAAAGAGCCAAATCTCGGCATCCACTGAATGATAGTAACATAATACCCATTCTAAATAACATAGAACAGATACAATCTTCAACAACAGTTCTTCCTTCAATGGCAAGAAGTGTTCTCAAAGTTTCTGATGGAATTGTTGCTTTAAGACAAGAAATGTCACTTTTAGATTCAATGTCTTCCGAAATTGAGTCAAAAATCGAGAAAATCAGAAAAATTCAAAATGATTCCGAGAAAGATGAGAACAATAGTCAAAAATATACCAACAGAATTGATAAAATAACAGGTTATGTTAATAATTTAGCTTCTTCTAACTCCAATTTTGTTGATCCGACAAATCAGATCAAAAAGTTTGAACAGGAAACAGATTCTATTATGCTACCATTGCAAAATGATATAAATAAGGCTTCTGCACCATACATTTCTCCTGAAAATTTAACAAAAATTCAAAATGAAATAGAAAACTGTATAAATGAAGTACAAGAAGAATCAGATAGTGCCAGATTAAGAATTAATACTATAGCTAATAAAGAATACGAAAAATACCTTACACAAGTTACAAGAAATTTAGATTCAATTAGATATGATACAAATTCGCCAATACTATCACAACAAATTGATGAATACAAAGAAAGATCAATATCCAAGCTAAATGACTTCATTCAGGACAAACCAATGAAAAATCAGCTGAATTCTTTGAATGTCAATCTAAAGACGATGAAAGACATTTTCAATACAGAAATAGGCAAAATCAAACCTAAAAAGACCAAATCTGAAAAGAATAACAGCAAATTAGATGAAAAATTAAAGAATGAAACAGAAAAATTGCTGAAAACAGAAGAAATATTTGGTTTGGTATCTGCTTCTGTTATACATCCATATAATGATCTTAAAAATACCTTGACAAATCTAAATAATTCATTTAATACAGGAATAATAGGAGATGAAGAGAAACAAAGAATCTTACCTGTTATGGACATTAAAAACAAACCCGTCTTAGAGATATATCCTTCAAGATTCGATAAAGTTACAAAACAAATTTTGGATTTAAGAGAAAACGTTGAAAAGATGGATTCACAAGTTCCTCAAATAGACTCCGACATATCAACTCTATCTTCTATGGAGTCTGCAATTAAGAAACTGAAAAACGACCGAACTTTGAAAAATGAGAAAGTTCATATACCAAAAGGAGCTGAAAAGTTACCAGAAATGAATTGGACAATTCTTAAAATCCTTGATTCACAAGGAATTGAATAGTTTAGAATTAATTGTATGAGTTGACTCAAAAATTATTGGACCTGCGCTTTTTGACGCACAGTTGATTTTTGTCAGTATTATTCATTCTCAATGTATTTTTTACGAGCACACGGAGTAGCTATGGTGATGATAGACTTTTATTTCATAATGACACTTTGCAAGTTCAATATGGGCTCATTAGATACTAGAATGAAATTGAAATTAATTAAAAATTCCTATAAATTAAACAAAACTAGTGGAATCAGAGAAGCAGTTAAAATAAAGGATATAACATATGGCTATCAAGAAGAAAGCATATATGAAGTTTTTGAATTTAATTTAACTTTCGATATTCCGAGAACAAATTGCTTATTTGGCTTTATCAACAATACAGAATGCCTTAATTATAGCAAGCATTTCAAAAAACCAGAGCTTATCCCAAAATTTGGAGAAAAAAGATTTATTGATAATGTCAATAATTTTTATGGAAAGATTGTAATATATAAAGATGCTTATGCAACTCACACAGGCGAGTTCGCTATTAATAACGTTACTATTCGGCCTCCATATGACACAGGACCTGACTTTATTCGAGTATTCGATGATGGGCCTGTTGTTTTTGAATGCGAAAAAGCATGTATTTTTGGGCACTTGTTTACTGCCAATTTGGGTCATTATACACATGATTATTTAGCCCCTTTGATGCTACTTCCTCAAGATTTTCTAGATGATTGCGTCGTAATTTTTGCAAGACATCAAGAAAAACTCACCGAAGAATACATGAAGATAATAGGTATATGCCAATACATAATTATCGATGAGCTTGAATGGGTCCATGCTAAATATCTTGCAGTTGCAACAGAAGGAAGACCACACAACTGCCATTTTGGGGTTCCTATTTATCTTTTGTATCAAAAAGTTAAGGGTTATTTCCATTTTGATGAAATCAAGCCTACTCAATATGTTCTGATGAACAGAAAACCCAAACGAGCAAGACGTATATTGAACTTTAAAAACATTACAAAAGCAGCTCAAAAAAGATTTCCTGAAGTCAGTTTTAAGATAATTCCAGATCCAGAATCAACAATTCAAGAATATGCGAAGATATTTTCATCTATAAAGTTCTTATTTACTCCGACAGGAAGTAATTGCATCAAATCATTGTTTATGCATAGAGGAACTGTCATCGTAATTGCTAGTGGGGATATGTTTGATTTCTCAATTGTTTCTTTTATTGCTTCAATCGACATCAAAATTGTTTATTTCGTTAATCCGTTTGATCATCGTTATGCATTTAATTGCAGTATTGATATGGCAATTGATGCTATGAAGGCAGGCTTATACTATTCAAAGAATGGAAAGTGGCCAAAACCACAGAAAAATGTAACTTTTATTGATTATATTAGATAGAATGATCATTTTTTTTATTTTACAAATATAATATTACAAGATATAGGCTGTTTATTTGCTTACACTATTTGTTTTATAAATATCATGGTTAATGAAAAATTGTTTTTGTTATTTTTTTGAAAATACAACATTGCATATTAAGAGGCTATAAGCTTGACCTTAGATTTTCTTTTCTTGATATAGGGAATATCATTATTAATAACGAAACATATGATTCAAACAAAAATTAGGGATTGATATGAATTTCTTCCTGTTTGGAAAGAAAATTTTAATGTACAACTCGGTGTTTAATTACATCTTCTTCATTATGATCTAATATTCAATGTAAATTTTTTGTATGTTATTGTTAATTGTTGTCACTTTTACTTAAATTTTTTACAATGATATTCTTTGTTCAATGTGCGTTGTCTGTGATGAGTCCGCAGACAATTTCCGTTGATATTCAATCCAAATGGGAATCTGCACATCCCTTTGATCAGATTTTGTACTATATCAACGACAGACATCAACCTGCACTCAAACAATTTTTCCTTGCAGCAACTGATGGAAACAAACTTCCAGAAGAATCTGTAATTAATAAAATATTAAAACCATTCATTCCTTATTCAGATTTACTTCAAATGAAATCTTATATCAAGTTAGGTCACTATTTCCAACGTTCTGTTACATTCAAATCGATGGCACGTACTTCAGAACTAGTGTTAATCACTGGTGAGACACCTTCTTTCCAACACAACTTCAAATTTGTTCATCGCGAGCACCAACAAGTGAATCCGTATGATATCATGTTTGGAAACTCTCGTACAATTGTTTATGCAGATCTTTCAAATACAGAAGCACTCTCATTTGTTCGCTCTTTGCTTGAAAATAAAAATGAATTCGTTTTACGTCCAATTTCAAAGACAAACGAGCCAAATCAGAAGCTTACAGCATTCTCTGCCACTGCTATCATGGTAGATGCTCCAAAGAACGCTTCCGCAGATGATAAAGTTTATAACGAATCAAATATCGATGATTTCGATCTGAAATTAACACAGTACATCATTGATTCAAAGAAGCAAATACCAGCCACCCTCAAGGACATTACAAACAACTGGCCAAAAGTTATTCGCGAAATTGAGAATATCAGACCAACATCATCAGCCAATAGGTCATTAAATGCAATCCGTGACTTCCTTGCCAGACAAGGAACCCTTGCATCTGCCATAAATGGCCGTACATTCATGTTTGATAAAAATGATCCACACGAAATCCTCAATATCATCAACCAAGAGACAATTTACAATAAGATATTGACAGAAGAACTCGGATTGAGCAAGAACTTGTCCGAAAGAATAACTTCTACCTCTATTGATCTGAAAAATAATTTTATTCTCGATTACAGGAACGACGCCGTCAAATGGCTTAACGATGTCGAAACTGACGTAAGCCACGCTACATGGTCGACCTCCGTTCAGGAGTTAATTCGTCCAAATCCAAGAATCCGAAAGAATCTCATTAATTTTGTCGTTTACGCCGATCCAACAACGACACAAGGCTTCACACAGATCTTCTCCATCGCTCCATTGATCCGTACGAACCTTCCGATTCGATTAGGTTTAGTTCCAAACTTTAATCTCAAAAACAGACTTCACAGAAAGGTCGCATTCGCCTTCCACCATATTGCCAAGCAGTCAGAGACCAGCGCTTTCGTGTTTTTGATCGATGCTTTCCAAAGAGCAGGAGTAAATCGAACTTCCAATACAAAGAACCCTATGACTGAAGAGATCTACGCAGCCTCTTACCAGAAAGTTATCTCAAACATGCAGGATATGCTTCCTTGGGAAAGATTATACGAATTATACTCCCCGATTTCGGAAGAATACCAGGATATCAAGGTTACAAGCGAATACCTCAAGAGATCTAAGGTTCCTTTCGGTTATATGACCATGAATGGAAAGATTTTGGATAATTCCAAGAAATTACCTGAACATCTTGCAGATATGTTCCATACAATCTTCGAGTTATGCACAGTTGATGGCATTATGGACCTCCAAGGCGTCGATATCGTTCAATTATTATCTCAGAAATGGCCGGTCGTTACAGAGCTCGGCCATCAGGTATACGAGGATGCTCCACAGGGTACGGGCATCATTTCTCACGGATACGATGTCCAGAAAGACTTCGTAGATTTCGTAATAAAACAAGATAACTTCGAAGGTCCTCAGAATCCACTCGGTTACACCATCTTATTCTGCGATAAATCAGCAGATACAACAGTATTTACAGACGTAATGTCAAAAGACAGGTACTTATCTCACGCAATTAACCCAGTTTTACCTGGCAAGCTCAATATGCTCTTTAACTACAAGCCAGAAGAACTCCCAGTCATTGTAATCAATGGCCGTGTCTTCCGCCATGTAAATCTTACAGATGATAAGTTCCTCGAAGACATAATGAACTGGGGAAGCCATTTCATCAACCACTTCAAGCTCCAGTTACAGAGAGTTACAGGAAGATTCGCCGCTTTCGCTTATTCTACGACAATGGCCATGGATTTCGTTGCTGCCGGCATTCCAAGAATCCTCCTTCCAGATCTCGCCCAGGAATCACAGTTGGTATACGTAGATAAGGATAATACTGATGCTTTGTCGTGGAAGATTTTGGCAGATCCGACAAGAGGCAATTTCCAGCAGTGCATCGACATGATCAACTATATTTCACAGAAAGGACTTGCAAGAATCCAGTTAATGGTCTTGCCTCCGCATAGAATCAATGAAATTGACTTAAATGTCATCAGAAGGTTCTACAGAACAGCTCTTGGCCCACAGAAGCTCACATTCAAGTTCTTTGATACAGAATACAACTACACAATCAAACCAATTCCTCCTTCAACGTATTCTATCGAGAAAATTTACTCAGATTTCGATGATGAGTACGTAACAGTCAATGGAATTGATGATGGCGACTTAGTTGTATCATACGGTATCAATGGATTCGTTTCTTCCGGTACATCAAAGTTCGAATTACCTAATTTCATGGATGTTGCAGAACTAGAGATCGTCGACACTTCAGATGAATCCTCTGTAATCGAGACATTCGTTGACATCCATGGTTCTTGGAATGCGATCACTTCACCTGGCCAATTTTACGTAAGAATGAGAAATAATCGTTCACCTCACAAAGTGGCCGGTGAATCAATTTTTGACACTGCAGTCAGTTCTAAAAACGATGTTAACTGTCCACTCAAGAACGGCACAGAAATGATGTACGAGATGAATTACAGTGGCAGCACAGAAGACATTAATATATTTGTTGTTACTGGTTCTAAAATACACGAAAAGTTAACATTGACTATGTTACTTTCCGCCAAAGAATTTTCAGATGGAAAGAAGATAAATGTCTGGATGAACAAAAACGATTTGAGTCCAGAGATGAAATCAATTCTTCCAAAGTTCTGCGAAGAGAATGGAATGAGTTTGAATTTGTTTGCAAAGAAATGGCCGGCATCATTAATGACACCAGAAAATCCTGATTTCTCTGTCGGAGCTAGAAGAATTGCATTGTTGGATATGATCTTTCCAATTGAAATCGGAAGAGTTTTCGTTGTTTCTCCTGATACTATTTTCACTGAATCACTCAATGAAATGGTCGAAGGACTCAATGAAACAAGTGTTTTCTACATCCCTCATTTCACAAAATTCATGGAATCTTCTGTTCCTGACATTCCAACGAAGATTAAATTCACTGACAAAACATATGCTCCACAAGTAATTGTTGCTAATATGAATATTTTGAGGAAACAAGTTATTATCTTTGATGCAATAAGAAGACAGATATTGATTGATGTGTTGAGATCTTCAATTCCTTCTCCTGACTTCGACATCTTGAATATGTTGGGTCAGTTGCTTCAGTTCGCTCCAACAAAGAAGAAAGTTTATTGCCCTGAATATTGCGAAATAGAAGATTACGGAGCTGTTTCTCTCTGCAAGAGTCCTTCAAAGATAATGAGGATGTCTTTGGATGATGTTGCTGCAAGATACGGTGAAACAATGCAGAAATATTTGAATGAAATATCTAAGTTCAAAGCTGAAAAAGATGATTATATTAAAGTTTTCTTGAAATAAATAAATAAATATGAAGAAAATAATTTATAAAATATGATTATTAATTTTTAAAAAAAGACAAAGAAGGAAAAACTCCTCTTCATTCTGCATTAAAAAAAATCGAAGTATTGGAAATTGCATATATTTCTTCCATGTAGAATCCCTTCCTTCTTATATTGAAAACTATTGAAGAAATATCAGAACATCTTCTTTATTATCATACAGTCATAAGAACAAGGGATTTTAGGATGCATTTGACTCTGAAGCAATAAAAAATCTCACGAAACAAAGTACTAAATTTCTCTTCACTGTTTAACAACAGCTCGATTTAAAAACAGCACAATACCAAAAATTTGAGTGTTTATTGATATTATATTGATATGAAGATATATATATAATTCAATTATCCACAGAAAACTATGTCGTAATGACAAATATCATATATAATACAATCAAATCATTTCTTTACCCAGATAATACATATCAAAAAATTAAAATATTTGATTAATTATTTTTTTAGATAAAAAACAAACAATATATATATATATATACTACATGAACATTTTCTTGACAGAACAGACAGGAACTCCACAGATTGGACATTTCTTGCAGTCGTCGCAAGAAGACATGCACTCGTGGCAGCAGCACTGGTGTCCACAGGGCATATACACCAAATCTGGCTCTGCATCCATGCAAATCACGCAGTTGTCTGTCTTGTATCTCTTTGTTGTTTTTCCTGAGATTCCACAAACAGGGCAACTGGAGCATTCCTCTTTGCAAAGGTGTCCACATGGAATAAATAAGAGTGGCATGTCTTTGTGTCCTTCTTCAGGCGTAAATTCGAGGTCTTTCTCTGGAACTTGATAATCATTTTCGGAATAAGAGAAAATTCCATTCGATCTCTGTAATTCGAAAGGTATTTTCTCTACTTCGATGATTTCTGATCCTAAAACTTGCTTGTTTGCCTTTCTTGGCGAATTATTCAAAATAACTTGGGAACAATTCGAAGAAACAAGCTCATTAAATGGAGTATTAATAAACAGAGGCTTAGCATAGTCTCCTGTTCTCACCAGAACCTTGTCTGTCGTGTTATCTCTGAATATCGGATTTGAATAATCAGAAATAACAATATCCAAGTCGCTAAACTTGCTGTTCGTGATAAGTAATGGGCAGTACTTACCAATTAATAGGAGGATACTCTTAATAAAATCGGAATGATTCACATCTACGTAACTCTTTTGACAAACTAAGGATCGTAAGCATGAATCGAATGTACATCCTTCAATGTATCCATTGGAACCCTTAGAAATGTTAACTGCCACTGGAGAAATATTTTTGAATTCAGATTTTGTGATTTTTATGATAGAAAGGTTGGCGGAACATATAGCACCGTTCTCGCAGTTGCTGAATTTGCAGTCCGATATATTCAGAATCGATTCTGTGCAGCAACCAATCGCTTTTCCTTTCATGTCAGAGAAATCACAGGAAATGAATGTGGAGTTGGTCTTCTTGGTTTGGAGGACGGCATATTTCTGAGCTCCCTGGAACTTGCAGTTAAATAATTTAATATTTGTTTCATTTGAGAGAACAAGTGATGTAACTGGGGCCTGCAAGAACGAGCAATTGTTAAATAATATACTATTAGGGCCATTAGAGGTAATCGATGCCTGTTTTCCTCCAGAAAACTGACAATTAGTAAATTCACAAGTAGTTTGAGGCGATATTTCGATAATAGAGTCCTGGTTATCCTGTGAACAATTGAAGATACAGTTAGTAGCTTTAAACCTAGACCCAGGGGAAATAACAATATGACCCGAGAAGTTAACATCTTGGAAGTTAACTTCTGTGTCCATTATGTTTATTGTTTTAATGTATGTGTGGTTTGATGTCATACCGAAGCCATTTAAAACGAGTTTTGATCGAATATATATTTCTGAGTTGCAATCTGAGCCTGGTAACAGTTTTATCTCGTGATTTTTGGTTGGAAATGAGATTTCAGATAGTAGTTGTGGTAATTGCTTGAAGAATTGGCACTTGGTAACGCATTTGCATTTCATAGAAAAAAAATTTTTTTTTTGTCGAAAATTTTGGACAGACAATTGTTTGAATTGAATTTTTTGTGTGACTTTTCAAAATAGTCAACATTTGAATAAACTATACTCATATGGTAGATCGTTTTTATTTATTTTTCAAAATTAAATGTTGCTATTCATTGAGAGGTAGGGCAACGATAGAAAATTTTTGGAAAAAAAGTTCGGAGATCTTAAACGTATCATATTCCCTGCATGGTTTGGTATCTTCCGCCATGCGTTGTGCCAAACATATTGACACTTTCCAATAATTAATTTATGGTATGAGTCACAGAGTTAGATTATAAAAAGAAAGTAAATAATTGCAATTAGAAATCATATATGTCGGAAATCAAATGTTGATGAGCAGAAACCTTTTACTCATCATAAAAGAGATAAATCACTAAAGATTTGTATACATTAAAATTTGATATTTGGTGCTCGAAAACTGTCTGATGGGACTCCTCCAAAATGAACCAATCTATCGCTGAGGACCAAATTAGATGATGTGGATGGTGTATTCTCTAATTCTAACTTAGGAAGAATGGGAACAAAACGAATGACGACAACAACATGTCAAACATAGATTAAATATCTATGAATCAATAAAGTATACGTGCATTGAAGGTGATAACGATCACTTGAGGCTTATAACTCTTTGACTAAATTATGCAATAATTAAATATAATCATTTTTATATTTTTATACTGATAATAATTAATATACTATCCTGCTTAATAAATGGTATGATCAAATTTGTTTGAAAATTTAATTATGTATATGAAACTATGTCTTCTATATAAAAATCAAAATTTTCGGACGAACCTAGATTGAACCTTTATGAAAATCTATCATTTTGTTAATTGAGTTAATATGAATCTTTTACATATGTATATATAGCATTGATAGCTTATATAATCATGGTTTATTCCATATTAACATATTTTTTCAGTTAAATTTGTTAATAATATCATGTAACAAATTAATTCAAGATTAGAATGTCTACAAAATGCTAACAAATAAGAACAAAATACGATTTCTCGACTTAAATTTTAATATGGAGTAGTTTTTCGTTTAAATCTAATTAAAAATGAAAAAAACTTATCTTGTACTATTTTCATTCAAAGATTTTAATAATGTAAATCATGCATTTTCATAATTCAGTACAGTTCTTTTTAGAATTAAAGTTGATGAGGATGATATTTGTGATTTAAAATAATTTGTTAATGTTCACCTTTTATTCATCACCTTGTGGTATGCCCTAAAGCAATAGCATTATCAATTCTGCTGAATTGATCAACTCAAAATTCCAAAAAAAATTCAAAATTTCAAAAATGAAATTAAACAATCTGAATTTTCACATGAAAAAATCAATTTCGAAAAAAATTTGGAAAATCAAAGTATTTGATAATTAGTCAAATAATCAATTTACATCGTTTTTACTCATAAAAAACAACTAATTTTTGATTTTGATATCATATTTGATAAATACTCATTCCAGAGTTGACGTAATGTATTAATTATTGTTAGAGATATTGCTTTCGCAGCAAAATTCTTATTTCATGAAAGAAAAAAAAAATGATTTTATTCCAACAAAAACAAGTAAACAGATGAATGGAAACGTACTATATTTTCATAAATGTAGTAATCAGCGTGTCGGCTTTTGTTTATCATGTTCGAGTCAAAATGTATTAACTTGTAATAAGAAATATTCGAAGATTATATGAAGTATTGAGCATTCTTTGTAGAAATATTTGTAATTCATTACTAACATATATAATAAAGTTGTTTTTTTTCCTTATTGCAATAATTTTGTCTGATTTTAATAACTTTTCATGTATACGAGTTGTGTGAATATGCATCATAATATGCGTAAATACACTTATTTGCGACGAATAATGTGGTTGCATAATGGAGGTGCTAAATTTTGATTTTTAATATGGGGCTTTGGTATGTATAATCATGTTCTTATCTCAACGTAGGAGTATTGGTGCAATATGATTAAAATTTACGAGGTTGATCTTAAATTGAATAATTCTGGAGTATAAATCACAATGCAGCTAATTCTATGTTAAAGATAGATACAGATTGTAGTAATCAATTAGGGAGTACAAATTCATTCTTTCATTTCTGTCGTATTGAGCAGAAAGGAAGAGATCATAACCCTAGGAAAAAAAGCCCAAATTTGTCACTTTTCATAGTACGTTAAACTCAATTCGCTCGGCGAATGCCGAGCACACGTACTCATCATTCAACATAATATTCTCATTCTTTGGTTATTATAGTGCCAGACAACACAAGATTTCAAAGAATTACTTGAGTTTTCAATTAATCTTAATCCGATTTTAGATTTATCGAGAACTCCATCATCACAATCACATACTTCAGTGCGGTAACTACAATTATCCATATACAGAAGGAAGTTCTTTTCGAACAACTCATTTGGAGTCTGTTTTGGAAAGAACTTCTTTCTGTCCGACTTAATTTCATAGTTCCTGATCAACCAAAAGACAGAAACCACACACTATCTACTTAGGAAAGGAGTTCTTTCTAAATCTTCCTTAAATTGAGATTTTACGAGAGATAACCCTTCTATTGCACTTAAAAATGAACATTTTGATATCTTTAGTATCACACATGGTCATATATAGTATTTCATCTACATGAATACATTCATCTTTCGAAGTCTCTCATTAAATGGGAGGCTTCGAAAGATGAATCGTTTTATTCATACAACTTTAAATCTCGAACACATTTAGAGAGTGAGTATATCATTTTATTCTTGTTTTGAGTTTATTCTGATTCAAAATTGCAGTGAAAACAGAAGTTCACACATCATATCTGAATGTGAGCTCATCTATACTTATACGATCTCAATACCTCCACTCTAAGCATAAGAGGTGAAGTTATATAAAAATTATCAGATGCGTTGAAGTCTCAAAAGTATTGCCTGAATGCTTGTTTCATATTTGTCCAAGTAGTTTCAATGAATAAATGTATTGTTTTTTATAATTTCGATTTATTTTTAGAAAATATTCAATATAAACCTTTATTGTGTTATTTACATCTCATAAATTCTCTGTCTAAATCATATAAAAGCGCGTTTTACCCCTATGAATCAAGAAATTCATTCAATATTCATGGTATATTTATTAAATTTATACGATTTACTAATAATCAATATTATATCCTCATAAATAGCAATATATTTTGGTAATCTATGATAATCATATACAATATTTGAAATCAAATTTTCATTAGTTTAGGTTCCTTGTTAATAGTAAACCATTATATTTATTACTAATAATAAAATCTATATGTCGTATTGAAATTCAATAAAATTACTTATTCGGTCCAAAAAAACAAATTAGATAAAATTTTTCTTTTTTTATGTAATTTTTGTTTTTCATTTTTCTCAAGATCCTAAGTTATGTTCTAACTTTTGACATCATATCCTATCATGCTAGGCTATATATTATAGCATATCCAAAAGGCAAGGAAATCTATCAGAGAAGCCTTTTTGACCTATCGTTGCCCTACCTCTATTCATTGAAATTTAAAACATCAAAAATTTTTGTAGAAAATGATTTACTGACTAATATCCTATTACTTTTTTGTTGGCTGACCAAAGGTTAAAAATTTTGATATCGCTTCATTTAAAAATATTATTAACCAGTACCCTCATAAGTTTTAACAGAATTCAAGCATAAAAATATTTTTGAGAATCTATCAATATCTTGGATCAATTATATTTTTCGAATATGTCATTGAAATTTAATAACATTTGGCCACTGCAGGTATTAATTGTCTAAAATATTTATCAACAACAAGTTAAATTTGAGGTTCTTTCAAAATTCGATGAATTTTTTAAAAATGATTGAACAAGCACGAACTATCGCTGACCCAAAACCATTTATAATTACAATTCTATTCCATCTGCTGTTGTTTCCACTATTGTTAACTTTTCTTCGATGAAATCAAAGAATATTCAAAACAATCGAAAAATAAGCGAATGGTTATTATAAATGTTTATATAATATTCTCTACTGCCAATTCCAACTAATTTTAGCAACCAATTGTTAGACAATTGTCAATCTAATATTGTTGATGTTTTCAATGGATATATGCAATTACAATTGAAAGAAGTTGTTGATTTTATCACAATTTCTATAATGTAATTCATTTGAAGGATAGAATTAATTTAAACAAATATTGAATTTCTTTGATCATTGATCAAACGATTATCAGCTTGCGCTATGAACGTAAACTTGTTGAAATTAGATTTGTCACTGTTCAAATAAGAAGATTTTTCTAAAATATTAAAAATTTGATTCTAAATAATAAAAAATATTTACATCTAAAAAGAACTACAATGGTAAATACAAATTACTGTCCAGGATTATCATTCCTTGGAACAGGATCAGTTTGATCAACTGGATCTTCAAGTTTAACAACAGAATTATCAGCTTCAGCATCATCCATCAAATCTCCAATAGCTACATCATCATTATCCATGACATCTTCTGTTTCCATGACATTATCTTTTTCAATCGGCCAATTTACGAACATAAAGAACAAAGAATAGATAACAGCGTATGCAGTTATAAAAGAGTTCATTCCGAAGCAGGAAACTTCATCAGAAAGCTTTGATTGAACATATAACATTTGGGCAACAAAAACTATTGATAAAAACGAATGTACCATGAAATCAGGATCGCTAAACATTGCGCTGTTCTTGAAGTACATAACTATATGTAAAACAATCTGACAAACGAATAAAATTGCGAATAAAATTTTTCTGAGAACAAATGCCCATTTAAAGATGCTGTAGCTGGCCATCATTGACTCATCGTGAATCATAATGACAACATAAGTGTATGTAGCAAAGAATAATAAGCAGAGAATGTGAAATGGGAAAGATGTGATTGCAACATAAAATCTTGAGGGAGTTTCACCGATTTTATCGTTGAAAAGTATATGAGTGAACGATACGTAATAAATTAATGCAAGGAATGATTGCGTAAAGAAAGAATCAATGATTTTGATGAAAGATTTTGAAACGAAAAAGTCAGCGAAGTAGAATGGATTGGTTGAAAGCATGGCACATGAAATAATTAAGATAATCAACCAGTTTCCAAGTGATGTTGCTTGAATGGTAAACCGAAGTTTTCGGAATTTGAAAAATAAAAGAACTGAAATAAGGAATAAAATGCTTCTGAGAGTAATAGTGACAATGGTGAATGCCGTATCGACTGATATCAATGAGAATCTGCAGTTAAGAGGGTTTCCATCTTCATAATCAATATGTAGAACAGCTTTGAACTTATCAAAGTTTACGAATGGTAGAGAAAAAATATGGATAGGTGCTGCTTCTGTTTGATTTTTTGCAAATGGAACTATTATGTGCTGTTTTGAAATTGGTTGTGATTCTGTCTTTTTTGAACCCAAAAATGCTGATGATTCTTGAACTATTGAGATTGATGAGTTAAAACTGTTGAGATTTGAGCGATAAAATGTAACTTGTGTTTTGATAAATCTATTTAATCTTGAAAAACCTGAAGCTTCGACAATATACATTCTTTTTGCTGAATCCAATGCTGCAAGCTTAACATCGTTGATTGATGAAACAAGATATGGAAGTCCTAGAGTCTGAATTAAAAGAAGTAATTCGATTGAGAGAATAAAATAAGCAATAGTCTTGATAGCAGAAGTACGGCTAAAGCCTTCTGTACGTCTCATATAGTTTGTGAATGCAGCTTCGGTTGTTAATCCTACAGCTTGCATTCTTTTATTTCTGAAAAAAAAATTGCTATTGACAAATTTCTCATATCAAGAATATGTTATATGATACGAGGTGCATATCATAAATTTATAAGGCAAGCTTCCAATATTTGGCTATTTCGCAGGTGAAAGATATGTTTTAAGCTATTGACTTGTAATGATTCAGTCATTATGCGCAACTACCTTAAAACAAAACGGGCACCAATGTTAAAAAGAAGAAAAGTGTTCCTTTCAGAGATAAAAACTATCAATAAAGCAGTGTGTCATCAAATGATTTTGAAAATAAATAGTTTTTCGTAGTTGGATAGAGATATTTGATCCCCAAAAATTCCATGTCAATTGTTAGCTAATCCTTATATCAGTCATCGATACTAACAACAATTTCTTGATTTCAAAATCTTTCTCAAGAATAATGAGGCAAAACAGCACAAATTAGGATATCAAATCCATAAAATAGGCATTTTCAACTTAAATTTTGTAAAAATTCAATAAGAATATTCGCGGCTATTGGATTTTTGCAAAATGTGCAAGCGGTATCAGGAGTATGAATTATTTAATTGGACTTTATTGTATTTTTATATCGTATAAATTATCAGTAGCGTAAAATTATTTAATTAATGAAATTTTTACTTTCAATGATTAATTCAAATAAGACTTGTCATACGGAAAGCTGTATCAAACCGCTTAGTCGTACTTCTTGAAGCCAAGAAGTTCAGCGCGTTCGCGGAAGCATCTGCGGCAGATGTTTAAGCGGTATTGGCGGATGACACCACGGCGCTTGCCGCAAATTCTGCATGAGCGTTCAACGGAGCCTTTTGCGTTATCACGTGGGTGCTTTGGAACAAAGTCTACTGGCATTACAAAAAAGGCTAAGCAAAGACCAAACCGAAATTTTCGCTCAAATTTTGGATGTAGCTTTTTTTTGGAAAATTTGTTTAATTTTATATAATGTATAACATGTCAAATAAGGGTTTCGTTTTGCGAAAAAAACGTACAATACGCAATTTCGCTAAAAAACATTTAGCTAGCAATTTCGACCTTTGACTCCACTCAAGACGTCACTTTTTTAATTTTGCGGTATCATATTTTTGGAAAATCTTTATGAATATTATATAAAAAGTCTCTTTAATATCTATATTTCATATTTTTATCGATTTTTAAAGTTTTCGCGAAAAGTATTCAATTATTTTTGCTATTTGGTCTGGTAAATGTCAGATTTGCGACATTTTCTGATATGATATTCAGATTCTACGTTGATAATAATGCTTATAGAACCCTCTTGCTATTGTGTCAAAATTGCGAAACCGATAGCAAAAATATCTCGCAATATCAAAATTGAGATATTGAGTGAATTATGCATTATAGAGATTAAAAATCTGATTTGTGAAAACATCTCATCAGTTTCTAGCTAATTCAAAAATCTTTACTATCTTATTCGATTAAAATGAAAAGGGAATAGTTTCATTATGCTTTAAATGACAGCCTTATAATATAATCATAGTTTTCGCTCAATATGCAGCATTTTTTTTTCGAAATCTATGGTCAATGTCCTAAATACTGATTGCTTTGCATTCATATCTCTTACATTTTCTATACCCACATCACTATTCATTGCTATTCCTATCTTTTTCATTTTTGTTTGTTTCTCATAATTTCTCAAAAAACACGATAACTTGATATTTGTAAATATCATACTTTATAACGTAAATAAGAACTTGACCTATTAAGAAAAGCAGTAATGAAAAGAAAATCTGAAATTCATAAAAATTACAAGTTTCTGATGACAATTAGCTTAATTAAACCAGGTACAAGATTATATAATTGTATTTTCTATCCAATTATCCATATAATATCTTATCCAGAAAAAATAACTTGATCAATACCAAATGATTTTTTAACTAGTAAATAAAGTATTTTCTTTACACACACATTGTATATCATAGTTTTTTTTTTTTTTGGTTTCGCAAAACATCCAAAAACAAATATGCTATAAAAGTGACAATTTTAGCAAAACGAAACCCTTATGTCAAATCAAAATTTGCATAAATTATTCGATTTACTGAGATATTTAATTCAAAATTGTTTGAAATGAGCATAAGGAATGATATGATAGCTTTCTTTTAGTTGTACTCAAGCTATATTTTTATTGAAACCTAATAAGTATCATCAATATTGGTGAAACTGATTCATATTAGCAAATAAATGGATGTATCATGAATTATTATTTCTGTTTTAAATTAAATCATATAATTATATATCGATATACATCTCTTGGCATCATATACTCATGAATGAAATATATCTTCTATCAAATTCTTTCCAATGCTTTTTAATCCAATTATATGTTAGTGCAAAAGGATATATTCTTAAATATATAACAAATTCTAAGAGCCAAAATGATTTCACTGTGGATTTGAATTGAAAGATAAAGCACTGATCAAACTGGCGGAAAGCGATGAATCGTATTTCAATTTCTTTAATGAGAGATTTCCAAATCTCTTTTTGTACTGTTACTATTTTAACAGAGCTTAAAATTTTTGTTTGATGTCCAAGGGAGAAATTAACCAAGGACATTATGACAAATTGATGGAGATTTTTACAGGATATAATGAAGTCTACAATGCTTTGTACAGGCTGAAAACAAATGACGAAGAAAAATTAAACGCAATTTACAAAAAAATCAAACAAAACCTGATTGACTCTTATCAAATTTCGCCTGGTGAAATTATCAATAAAATATCCGAACTTTCAATTTATAACAACCGCTACATGAAGTCATATTTAGCGATTGCCAAACAAATTGTTGACGAATACCATCTAAATCAGGTCAACAAAATCAACAGAGTTTTTAATTACCTTTTCTACAAAGAATACAGTATAGTATTAGATGAAAACTTGAAATTTTTTTAACTATTTTGAAGATTCTCATTATTCATCTGATATTCACGAACAAAAAACAATTTACAGATCTATTATGGATGATGACAAAACATCATTGATAATTTTTACAGAAGGAGAAGGATTTGATAAAAGACAAAAATTACATAGTAATTTATATCCATTTTCAAAAGGAGGTATTTCGTTACTTGAATTATGTTGTTATCATGGATCCGTTGATTGTTTTAAGATCTTAAGAACGAAATTTCAATCAGAAATCACTCCAATTTGTCTCAGATATTTATTTTTGGGTGGAAATACAGACATTATAAATGAATGCTTGAAAGTACAAAAACCAGATAATATATGCATGGAATGTGCAATTATACACCCAATATTGATTTTGTCACATTTTTGATGAATGAATACGATATAAAAATTGATTTAGAATTGTGCTCTATCTACAATAATCTTCAATCATTTTTAGTTTATTTGGATCAAACAAATGACATTAACACATGTTTTGTTTATTCTCAGAATTTTTATCTTTCATCACTTTTAGAATATTTTATTTCAAATGGTGCAGATATCAATGCTAAAGACAAAGATGGATGGACCCCTCTTCATCTAGCAGCCATTAAAAATAGCAAAGAAACTGCCGAAATTCTTATTTCAAATGGTGCAGATATCAATGCTAAAGACAAAGATGGGCTTACACCTCTTGTATAGGGTGTCCAAAGGTGCGTTTAGCACAGCGCTCTATATGAGACTATTAAAGGAGATATATGCTGATTATAAATATATAATAAAAAATATGAATATATGTATATGATGAGTATGTTGTATTTTGGCGCCATGCCGGGATATAAAATGAATTTTGAGACAAGAGGCGGTTTCGCGGGAAATTTTGGCGGGATTTTTTTCATTTTTTTAATGAATCATAAAGAAAACATCCTCGCTCTTGCAAAAAAATGCAAAGACTGTAAAAAAATCTACGAGACATTGGTAAAATGCTTCGGTATGGATGCTCCTAGCTATTCCACTGTAACGTATCATGTTAGGATGTATCACTTCATGAACAAAAAGGCGCCCATCATAAAAATTGACAAAAAATCGCCGGATCAAAGAAAAATCAAAGCAATTCTTCAAGCGCTAGATGAAGACCCAAGAGCATCACTCAGAAGGATAGAGGAGATGACAAAGATACCACGTACAACAGTCAGTTATTATCTGCACAATTATTTGAACTACAAACTAGCGTATACACGTTGGGTTCCGCACAACCTTAATTCAGTTCAAAAAAATCTAGAGTCCAATCTTCGAAAGAGCTCCTCTCTATATTGGGTGCGTATCAATCCAAGAAGTTTCGCTTTTTAGTAACAGGGGATGAGTCTTGGTTTCAATATGCAACAGAAGCCAAAATCATGTGGATCCCGAAGGATGAAAATCTGCAAACATTCCCGAAGAAAAAAATTGACACACCAATGATGATGTTGTCGGTTTTTTGGGGCGTGAATGGCATCATCGCAATTGATATTCTTCAAAAACCTAATACGATGAATGCTCAGTATCTAATTGACAATGTTCTTACTCAAATTATCAATTCTGATGAGTTTGAGAAATCCAAACAACAAAAACAAAAGTTTGCAATTCATTTTGATAATTCAAGAGTTCACAAAAGTCATAAGGTAATGAATTACTTGGTGGAAAACAATGTCAAAGTTGTTCCAAACCCAATTTCTTCACCTGATATTGCACCCTCTGACTTTTATTTATTCGGCACGCTAAAAAAGAGAGATGAAGGACGCGAATTCGCGAGTCCAGATGATCTTGAAAATTTTGTAAGAGAGCAATTTGAGCAATTTTCTCATGATGATTTAAAGCGTGTCTTTCAAGCCTGGATCGATCGCTGCGAACGCGTGATTGAATCCAATGGTGATTATATTTAAATAAACTTTATATATATGTAACTTGTTTATTTCTATTCGCAGTATTCAGGTTTGTGCTAAACACACCTTTGGACACCCTATATTATTAAAAAAACGATTATGATCGTCGTCCTATTTCTTCATTTTTTCCCTATTTTTTCTCACTTTGACCGATGGAACCAATGTATCGAGCCATGATTCGCATACCAAAAATTCGAAAAAAAATTAAATGATGTCTGTCTAATCAAACCTTAATGTTGAGAAAAGATACCAAATCATATTCAAATTATATGACACAAAATCAAATTTTCATTCTTAAGAATAGTGAAGCTATATAAAATTTAGCTATGTGAGAATATTAATCGTTGTACATTTATAGAATAAGAGGAAATTGCAAAATTTCGAGAATATGAGAATATAAAAATGGTAAATATGCACATTTTTGATATAATTAGAATTTAATAAGAAATGTAATATGTGGGGAAGTGTGATATTGCGAGAAATTATCATACGAGGCAGTGAGTGAGAAAGATTTGGAGAAATTCAATGGTGAATTATAATATAATTGGTGGATAAGATTTAAACATGAGAGTTAAAATGTTTCTAAGTAGTGGATGATTGATAATTATGTGATTTTGACTATTCAACATCTGATTGTTGACTTTGTTCCTTATTTGATGTACTTGTTGAAGTATTGTACCTCAGATAAGGCTCTTAATATTGTTTTTTACGATCAACATCTTCTTACATCGCAGTATGTCATGGCATAATAGTTTTTCAGTAGATGGCTAAGGAATCAGGCTTTAAAAAAAAAAAGAACAAAGCAAAATTTCACATCAAAAAATGCATCATTTATTCAAGACACTAGATGAGTCTAGTAGAGATATGGTTTTGATATAAATAATTACATATAAAAAGATAGATGCTTGTTTTTACTAACAATAAAAATTATGTATATCAAAATAAAAAAATATAATATAATTAATCTTGAATATTATCAAGAGAAAATGTTCTATCTATTGAAGCTAACAATGATAAAACTGGGTCATTGAAAGACTGTCCAAGACATTCAGTCATTAATGTTGAAATTTGATTATCTCTAACATTCAAATTTAATTCTTTGAACTTTTCACTGTATTTCTTCATGTCTTTCTCATCATTTTCTTTCTTCTCATTGACAGTAACAATCTGTTGTATATCTTCAAACTCTTTGATCTTCTCTTTCTTCAATATTGGCAAAGAATTCTGATTCTCTATGCAGAGATATCCAAATCTCTCAACATAAGTAGATTTGAGCATCTCTTTCTCTGCAACTAATGTTCCTCTGTCAGTGTCGTATTTCGGTATTTGATTGATGTGTCGCATGAATTCTTCTTCCGGCCATGATGCAAAAATAAGATGTGATGAGATGGCAAGATGACAGAAATTTGACAATTTGTCAAAACTGCTTGAATGACAACCGTCAAATTTGAGATGAATTAGCGGTTGTCCTTTTTGTAGGAAAATCATCAATGCGTCAATTCCTACGTCACCTATTCTTTGGTCTGTGATATCCAGCACTTTTATACGCTTCTTTGATGCTAGATATCTAAGAACAGGTATCAACAACTGTCCATAACAATAAGAAAAGTCACTACAACCTCTGATGTAAAGAGATTCCAAATTTTTCAGCTGACAAATGGCAAAAGAGAAAGCTCTGAAGCCTTGGGATGATTCGTATATGTTTATTGACTGTGAAATCGAAAGGGAACGAAGTTGTGTGTTGAATCTGAGAAATGTAGCGAAAAGTTGAGAATCTTTAGGGTTCATTACGTTGTTATCGAAGAAAATACGCTCAAGGGACTTGTATCCGTTCCTTTCTGCTGCTAAAAGTTCTAATAATTTCGAAAAATCGTTTGGATCCATGTGAATCCTGGAAAGATCAATTCCGGAGACACATATCTTGCCATTGGAGATCGCATTGAATATGGATGTGATAGAATCAAGCGTAAAAGTGCAATCAGAAAGATCTAAAAATCCAATTTTTGAAGGAATCCTTTCAAAGCCTAATGGTTGCATGAATTTGTTTCCTGAGAGGCATATTTCAGTTAATCCGATGTCAAATGAAACAATATTCATGAATAATTGAGAAATATCCGTATTTGACTTTGAAACTTCGATTCTTTTGATGCATTTGGATGTGAGAGCCCATGATGAGTTGGCAATACTATTAATCATAAGATGAATGTCAGGAATACCTGTCAATTTGGAAATTTCGAGACATTCTAAATTATGGAAGCAATTATTAAACAAAATTGTCTGGATAATGGTCATAAGGCTCTGAGAAGTGAGAGTTGTGTTGACAAATTCCAATCCTTTGACTCTTTTTGAATGATCGGTTAAATTTTCAAAGAAAGAGATAAAAGCTGGAGAAGAACAATCGCAATTCTTAAAACACCATGTAACTGGTAAGAAAGTGGCCTTATCAAAGAGAGAATTCACGGTTTGAGCAGCGTTCGTAAAATCGCAATCATTAAAGATTATCCGCTCTAGGAATTGGTTACATGCGAATATGGAGTAGCAAATCTGAAATATTTTTGCGACATTGCATTTATATAAAATAAATTTGTGTAAATCTTGTTCGAAAGTCAATGCTAATGCCAAAGGCTTGATGAGCATAAAGTTGCTAATTGCATTATTGATTTCGAAGTTGTGGTAAGGTAAAGAATCATTTGTATAAAAAACAGACATTTCTTCGGGAAATAGCTCGATTCCATAGTGCAAAGCGCATGATCCGATCCTATCTGCGAAAACGTGGCGAGATTTATATGATTTGGCAGTGGTTTTCATGTTATAGCTGCCTGAATTTTGGAAATTAAAAGAAATTGGTAATAAGCTTGGAGAAAATTGTGCTTGACGAACAAAGTATATTAAAAGTGCGATTTGTTCTATATTATCTGCTCGAATTCTAATTTGTTCTGTTTGGCTACTAATATTACAGCTTGTTCCTCCGATACTGATTGAAATCATATCGAAGTATGACATCTGAGTTGTTACTTCGGACATTCCAAGTGCTTTTCTGCGACCTAGGAAAATTCCATTTGTGCTGACAACAAATATTCTTTCCTGAGTGCAATTTGTTGAACTAATCCAATGCACATTCCCATAATAAAGCACATGAGCTGTTCCGCGTTTCAAATTTGGGCTCATAGACCATATAAAGTTCTCTAATTCATTTTCCATACTTTTTCGAGTTTTCTCACTTTTGAATTTTACAAAAATTTTGAATAAGATAATAATAATTTTCCTTTTAAATATGAAAAACAAGCTTGTTTTGTAATAAACAGAAATTCATCAAAAGTGACAGCTCTCAATTTTTTGACATTTGTAAATTCTAAATTGAATGAGAAAAATGAAATAATACTAAGCATAATACAATATTCTAGATTTAATTATAATTAGGAAAAAGTTAGTTTTGAGAGTACTTTTCATAGGCATATAGAATGAAATCTTCTGAAAAATAATATCACATAAACTCATATTATTTTCTAATATATAACTATTTTATATAAAAATCAAATTCAATGATCTTAAAAGCGAAGGATAAACCTCAAAATTTACGAATATAATGAGTGGGAATATAATGCTTATCTATCATAAAACCATATGAAATATCAATTTTTGCTTTACGCCTAATTTTTGACGACAATTAGCAAAAAATGTTAAATGTTAACACTCAGTCCATTTGAATATGAAAAATAAAATTGACTTTGATTAAATGTTTTTATTTATCATGCAATTCTTCTTGCGACCAAAGATTTGAATAAAAGTTCAAAAAATAAGATAGCTTAAAAAATAATATACGGTAGTGTTTACTAATAGATGAATAGTATATAAATTCTATTAAAATGGATTTGATCCAAAAAAATATAAAACCAAAAATAATTGTTATAATTTAAATGAAGAAGTAATTTAAAACGATTTTATTTATGATCAAATTTTATATATTTTTTTGGATCAAATCCATTTTAATAGAATTTATATACTATTCATCTATTAGTAAACACTACCGTATATTATTTTTTAAGCTATCTTATTTTTTGAACTTTTATTCAAATCTTTGGTCGCAAGAAGAATTGCATGATAAATAAAAACATTTAATCAAAGTCAATTTTATTTTTCATATTCAAATGGACTGAGTGTTAACATTTAACATTTTTTGCTAATTGTCGTCAAAAATTAGGCGTAAAGCAAAAATTGATATTTCATATGGTTTTATGATAGATAAGCATTATATTCCCACTAATTATATTCGTAATTTTTGAGGTTTATCCTTCGCTTTTAAGATCATTGAATTTGATTTTTATATAAAATAGTTTAAGGGTTTCGTTTTGCGAAAAAAACGTACAATACGCAATTTCGCTAAAAAACATTTAGCTAGCAATTTCGACCTTTGACTCCACTCAAGACGTCACTTTTTTAATTTTGCGGTATCATATTTTTGGAAAATCTTTATGAATATTATATAAAAAGTCTCTTTAATATCTATATTTCATATTTTTATCGATTTTTAAAGTTTTTGCGAAAAGTATTCAATTATTTTTGCTATTTGGTCGGGTAAATGTCAGATTTGCGACATTTTCTGATATGATATTCAGATTCTACGTTGATAATAATGCTTATAGAACCCTCTTGCTATTGTGTCAAAATTGCGAAACCGATAGCAAAAATATCTCGCAATATCAAAATTGAGATATTGAGTGAATTATGCATTATAGAGATTAAAAATCTGATTTGTGAAAACATCTCATCAGTTTCTAGCTAATTCAAAAATCTTTACTATCTTATTCGATTAAAATGAAAAGGGAATAGTTTCATTATGCTTTAAATGACAGCCTTATAATATAATCATAGTTTTCGCTCAATATGCAGCATTTTTTTTTCGAAATCTATGGTCAATGTCCTAAATACTGATTGCTTTGCATTCATATCTCTTACATTTTCTATACCCACATCACTATTCATTGCTATTCCTATCTTTTTCATTTTTGTTTGTTTCTCATAATTTCTCAAAAAACACGATAACTTGATATTTGTAAATATCATACTTTATAACGTAAATAAGAACTTGACCTATTAAGAAAAGCAGTAATGAAAAGAAAATCTGAAATTCATAAAAATTACAAGTTTCTGATGACAATTAGCTTAATTAAACCAGGTACAAGATTATATAATTGTATTTTCTATCCAATTATCCATATAATATCTTATCCAGAAAAAATAACTTGATCAATACCAAATGATTTTTTAACTAGTAAATAAAGTATTTTCTTTACACACACATTGTATATCATAGTTTTTTTTTTTGGTTTCGCAAAACATCCAAAAACAAATATGCTATAAAAGTGACAATTTTAGCAAAACGAAACCCTTAAATAGTTATATATTAGAAAATAATATGAGTTTATGTGATATTATTTTTCAGAAGATTTTGTGTTCTTCTTCAAAATTTTATTTTTTTATTAAAAAGAATCTTTACAAAATATACATTTACTTTAATTAATATTTAAAAACGTGCTCTATCAAAAGTTCCAAAAATTCAATATTTTAGCTTTTCTGAGGTGTCACTTTTGATGAATTTCTGTTTACAACAGTTTATATATGAGTAGTATATCATTTGCCTAAATCTGATTTGCAACGACGATCTCAAAAATAACGATTACTTTTTACATTATAAAGTAAACAAGAAAAAATGGGATGCGCTTCTTCCGTCCCACGAAAAAGCGTACATCAGATTGAAGAGAAGAAACGGCCAAGCAAGGACAAGGATAATCGTGTCAAGGGGGAGAGGAGTGATACCTCAGAAACCGAGTCCGACCCTTATGTCCTACATACAACTGCTGCACCACCTCTAATTCTCGGAAGCAAAACCCCAATGATGTCAACAGAAATGTCATTGGATGGATTCCAAATTAGAGATTCCCCAAGCTTCTTTAATCCACTAGAAAAACCAACAATATTCGAATACGAGTTCCAACAGCATATAGGTCATGGTTCTGCTTCCGATGTATTTTTGGTTAAAAACCAGGAAACAGGAATCATGTACGCAGCAAAAGTTTACGATCAAGATTATTTATATCGTATGTCAATAGGTGAATCCGTACCACCGATCGAGAAGGTTTCACGTGAAATTCAATTAATGTCAGAAATTAATCATCCCAATATAGTTCCTTTGATTGAAATCCTGGACGATCAGCCTACACATTCATTAATTATTATACTCCCCTTTGCAGAAAAAGGTTCCCTCTCTAAGAGTAGTTGGAAAGCAGATCCGCTTCCAGAAGCGGAAGCTAAAAACACCTTTAGACAGATTGCCTCCGCTCTTCAATATTTACATTCTTTAGATATTATTCACCGAGATTTAAAACCGGAAAACATCTTATGTTTCGCAGATGGTCATTCTGCTATTAGCGATTTTTCAGTCTCCTTAAAATTAGAAGATCCTAACGAAATGCTCGAAGATACAGAAGGTACGCCAGTTTTTTACTCCCCTGAGCAATGCTCTGGCGAGCCTTACCTCGGAAAACCGGCAGATTGTTGGGCGTTCGGTATTGTTCTCTACCTCATGATTTTTGGAAAGCTACCGTTTTTCGAGGCTGATGATGAGGAAATATATAGAACGCACTTTTTTCATATCTCTCAGGTTATCAGTACGGAAGAACTTACATACCCTGACACTAGTAATTTGTCGAATGAACTCGTGGATCTTTTCCATCACATATTAGATAGAAATCCTGCTACGCGATATAATATGGACCAAATTTGTTCTCACAAATGGTTCAGCTATGATGAATAGTAAATTTGTTTGTTATTTGTTGATTTATTAAATCGAATCTTGTTTGTTTTATTAAATAAATATATCTGTTTATTAAAAACTACCTCATCCTTTTGTTCCCTTAACTCTAGATGGTAATTTCATGAATATCCGTTATTACATGCATCGCTATTTTTCTGTAAATTTCAATAATTATTTATTAATCAATAGAATGCAGATAGAATGCACTAGGAAAACTGCTGAAAGTCGTAAATAAAAAAAATTGATTGAAATTTTCAACGCAATTGACCTTGATATATACCGAAACATATCGCTGATTTTAGATATGCACTTATATTCAACACTTTTTTTAAGTGTCTGGATAAAATTTTCCTCCGATCACTTCCTTCATTTTTCAAAAAAATGAGTGATATTATTGGCATAGACTTTGGTAATAAGAATTGTATCATAAGCGCTGAAGTTAATGGGTCAGTAGATGTCATTGCTAATCAGAATGCAAGCAGAGCAACACCAGCAATTGTTACATACACAAATAAAAGGAGATTTGTTGGTGATCTTGCAAAGATGCAGCAGATGGAGTTCTACAAGGCCACCATTACAAAGATTAAGTCTCTTATTGGAATGAAATTCGATTCTGTTGAGAAAAAGCAGATTGAGCCATTATCTACTGTTAAACTTGTTGAACTTGAAGATAAGTATACAGGCGTATCAATTCAATACAATGATACTGAAATTGTCATGAGACCAGAGCAAATTGTTGCTTATCTTCTCAAGGAACTTGTGAAGATTGCTAAGGCTCAAGTACCAAATGCAGATAAAGCAGTTATTGCAATCCCACCTTGGTGGACCCATGAGCAGCGTCAAATTTTACTCAATTCCGCCAAAATTTCTGACATCAACATTCTCGGCTTGATTAACTCAACAACAGCTGCAGCAGCCTCATACGTAAAGCTTAACGATGATAAGCTTCCTCCAAAAGAAGCAAAACCAGTTCCAATCGTAATTGTTGATATTGGTGACTTCGCAATGAACGTTACAGTTGCTCTTATCAAGAAAGGATACTTACATATCGTTGCTACCGATTCCGATGATACTCTTGGCGGAATTCACTTCACAAACGAGTTACTTCCATTTTTATTGAATCGCACACAGCAAAAGTACAATCTTGATCCACGCCAGAACCCACGTGCATGGATCAGATTCCAGGAAGCAGCAGATCGCTTGAAGATGACTCTTTCGATCAATCAATCCGTTGATTTCGAAATTTCAAGCTTGATGAACGACATCGATGTCAATTTCGTTGTCAAGAGGGATGATTTCAACCAGCTTATCCAAGGTCTCGCCAACAGATTGCACGAACCATTGTTACATGCACTTGAATTAGCAAACATCAAGAAGGAAGACCTTTATGCAGTCGAATTAGTTGGTGGTGGCTCCAGAATACCATTGATCAGAGAAGTTATCTTCCAAACAATCGGAAAAGAGTTTCCACAAGTATTAAACAACGATGAGTGCTTCTCAATGGGCTGCTCTTACATTGCCCAGGAAAAGATCGATCTCCAGGATATTACTAACACAGAAGGTTCTTACAAAGATGGAGAAAACGCTGATGTTGTATTATTCAAGAGATTTTCACCAATTCCAGCATCAGCAAAGTTCACAGTTGATGTCGAAGGCAAGAAGAAGATCGACATCAAGTCAGACAAAGGTCCAATCGGTGAAATTAACCTCGAAGTCAATGATCCAGCAAAAGTCAAAGTTGAACTCGAAGTTTCACTCTCAATCTCATCAATGTTCAATGTAAACACAGTTTCTGTCATCCAGGAAGATGAATCAAAACCGGTTCCTCCTGTCACTTTTGTTTACAAAGCTATCGGAGAATTTAGTGACGAAAAGCTTAAGGAATACAAAGATTTGGAAGCCAAGATGTCGGAAGACGATGAAAAAGAGAATGCCATCGACAACGCGAAGAATGAATTAGAAAGTTTAATCTTCGAAGCCAAAAATGCTCTTAACAGAGACTTCCCAGACAATTTCGATCCAGCATCAATCAACAAATACAAGAAGGATGTTGAAGAAATCGAAACATGGTTCTCTGACAATGAATTCGACAGATTCCCAATCGAAGAGTACCAAAAGCGCTCTGAAGCGATCAATTCCTTCTTCAAACCAGCCCAGGAAAGATACCATCTCTTCAAACAGCTTACAGATGAGATCACTTCCCTTAAAGATAAAGCAAATGATTTATTAGTCCAAGTCAAGACGGATGCTGAAAGAATTGATGGTGGCGAGAAGGAAGAACTACTCAAGCAGATCGCAGAATTCATCGAATCAGCCGACAAAGCCCTCAGCGAACCAAAACACGACGAACCGAAATACAAATCATCAGATTTCTCTGACAAACTTAAGACTCTTGAGACAAGAGTTGCTGCCAGAGCCAACTTACCTCTCAAACCAGCTCCTGCTCCACAGAAAAAGCCAACTGTTTTAACAGTAGACGAAGCAGAAGAAGAAAAACCAGAACCACCGAAAGCAGAAGAAGTTCCAACATCTCCAAAGGTTGAAGAGCCAAAACAAGCTGAAGAAAACGAAGAGGAAGAAGTTGATGAAGTTTATGATTTCTGGGGAAGACCAGTGGACCATCGTATGACATCCTCCAATATTAGAAGACCATCGTACGTCGAAGAACCTCACGAAGAAGAGGAAGAAGATAAGACTGATTACGATGATTACATTTACGACTCATATGGCAACGTTGTTGGTCGCCGTGATAAGCAGATGAATCCTCGCTGCAAAGAAGTTGTTTGCGAAGACAACGATGGCGAGGAATACTACGAAAACCCATTGGCAACGTTATTAGGCTGCCCACAGAAGAAGAAGAAACAAAGCAAGAAGAAAGAAGTGAAGAAGGAAGCCAAGAAAGAGGAAGTTGACGAATACGAGAGATTGTTAGGCCAATACAGAGAATTTGGAAAGAAATTCGATAAAGAAATGGAAGATTTGAGGAGAAAGGCAATAGATATCAAACGTCGCGAGATAGAATTGGCAAAAGAAAAGGAAGCAATTCTTGGAAAAGTCAGAAAATTACGAAATACAAAAGAACAAATGGAAAACGAACTTTACAGAGCTCAGGAAAGAAAGAGAAGAGCCGAAATGATGAAGAACGCTTACCAAAACTACATGAATACCAATGGAGGTGAAGCATTTGACTTCCTTGGCCCAACTTTCCAGTCATTGTTCCAGCAGGCATTTCGTGATGCTGCAATGAGACAACAGCAGCAACAGAGGCAGCAACAACAACCAAGACAGCAAACACAGCAAAATCAGAACCAGCCAAGAAGTATTCCAGGATTCAGAGGACCATTCTATAGCCCACAGTTCGGATATCCAATCTTCTTCTAAATTTTTTTCTTCTTATTTTTACTTTAAAAGATTTCATCGGAAAAAATTGTTAAAAATCAATCGAATGGAATCATATCATGAACATTCAAGTAAAAATACTCTAAATTTATTAATTTAATTGGATTTTTTTACAAAATTTTGATTGAAAATAGAGCCAAAGTGATTTTTTTTGGAGATTTCTAGCATTGATTTATCGAAATTCTATTTGTTAGTGATGTTTCCGTGTTTAATGCATAGATCTGATATATATTATTATAATAAAAAAATATCTCATTTTATTTGTTCAAAAATGCCCATGGTTAATAAAGATTTTGTATTTTTATGGCATGAAATTCCTGATATCATCTAAAAATTAGCAGATAATCCTTAATATCTTTTGAATATCAAATGAAATAATGAAATTAAGATAAAAAATATGCTAAGTTATAAACAATATTCTAAAAAATGTTTAGTAGATACGGTGAACCTTGCCCATTGTGGACTTGAGTACGATGGAGCCGATTGATTGCCAGCCCTTCTTAAGAAGTGTGACAACGTAGTTTGTGCAAAGTGTAAGGTTCTCGAAAACCTGGCGCTCTGTCATGTTGACATTGCCGATTGGGATACCGAAAGCGACGGACTTCTTCAGACGGATATTAGCTGTGCGCTTAACTTCATCAACAACCTTAGCGACTGTATCTGTCTTGATGTTTGTTGGGAACTTGTTAGCACGTGTGTAAACCTGACCAAGGACCTTGTTGACCTGACCGATGACATCTGGGGAAGCAAGGAAGAGGTGGTGGCGCTTTGTCCAGGCCTTGACGACCTTCTTCTCCTTGTTGAAGTTGGTAAGTGTTGGAAGATCGTAAGCTGGGATGTTGAGCTTTTGGGCTTCTTCGCAGTGGACCTTGTTACCAAGGACACCGATGCGAACGTTTGGACGGATGATGTGTGGGAGCTTGATGGAGCCGACGAAACGCTTATCCTTAGAAACGTTGTAGCCCTTGAGCTTGAGCTGGATATCGACTGTCTCGAGGAATCCGCGCTTCTTTGTCTTGGCGCCCTCAAGAACGTCCTTGATAGCCTTCTGGAGTGTTTCCTGGTGAAGATGTGTCATTTAAATAAAAAGGCCATGCTATCATTTAGGGGTTGACTCTTTGTCTCCCCTTAAAATTTTATTTGTCAGAATTTATTTGTCAAAAAAATCATCATCGCTTTTTTAACTAAATTCTAATGAATACCAATAGTCTTTCGAATTTAAAATGGACATTACCATCCAGTAGTAATCAAAAATCTATGAATTCAGAAAAATCAAAGAGTTGGGGAGCTCCAAATACAAAATCTCGTGGCTTAACTAATATTCTTAACTTGAAACTAGGAGAAATGAATCTTCCGTCTTTTCACTTCGGAACTGGTGCTACTTTTAATTCTACACGAACACCCAAAGAAAAATTTGAATCATATTCTACCGGAAAACACTAAAGCCCTTACTTACCGTACATAGTTATTATGTTGTCTTCAATGTATCATATTATTGATATGAAGAATGCAAACTATTCATTATTTCCTCCAAAATTAACCATTTGCGCGTCACAATTTAACTGATAAGCAGATCTGTTGATTTATTCAGAGTTTCCATAGATAAGAAGCAGAGTTACCATTGAAAAAAATAACTTCTTGTGAATTTTTACTGTTTTACAAGGAGCACAATTGCTCTTGCTTTACGTATCTTGTCAATGTTAGTTGTATGTTTAATTTTTTGTTTTTCTTCATCAAAATGGACATCATTTTATAATTTCTAAAAAAATGAGTAATATTTATAAAAATAACAAACAAGAAAGAATATTTTATACATATATTCTAATTAGCAACTTTCAATATTGCATCTATACTAAATTTCTCTGCTATTTCGTCTAAAACAGACAAAATGTGGTATTCTCGAGTGGTTCCTTCCAAACACTCGTTGATAAGTGCTTCCATCTCTGGATTTACGTTTAATTTCGTCAATAATTCTGGATTTGAAAGAGAATTTTCAAGATATTTTCTTGATTTTTCCTGATTTTCTTCTTTTTCTTGGTAAATGTCTTTGATTGTTGCTGCAAACTCATTAGATCTTATTGTAGCAATCAAATCATCATCATTTATTGGATCTCCGTAACAAATCTGGAAAGTTGCCTCCATGTTGTCAATCATCTCGTGATTTTCCAAAATATTATCAGAAACAGCATATACATCATCAAAGAAACCAAAGAATCTGTGTAACGATCGATGAGGGAAAGATGATTTGATTTGATTTTTATAAACCAAATCACAAAGATCTAAGAGCTCCTCGTAGTTGCTTGGTCTACAGTCATCGAAATAAAGCTCTTCTATTTTATTTTCATTGATCATTTTCGTCAAAATTTTCAAAGAATCTGATTTTATTTGTTGTCCGGTCAAATCAAGGAGTTTCATCTTCCTTTTGGACAATTCATCCAATGCTGGTGCTAAAAAGTCACCATACGTCACATCCATCCTTCCATTTGATCTGATCGAAAGACTTTCGAGGTTTTCAATGGATAGAAGGCCTGTAAAGAAGTCTGTTGTCATTTTGAGGTTCTCTTTGCAACTAATTGTGTTGTTTAACGATACAAATTTGAGATTTTTTTGCAAAGATAAAAATCTTTTGAATTCGAACAGTTCTTCTTTGTTCATTTCGTTGTCATCATAGAAGAAACATTGTAGGGATGGTATAAATGTGTTCATGTCGGTCAAATTTTCATAAATATCACGAGCAATCGAAGGAAAGATCGTTAAATCAGAAAGATCGAGTCCTCTCAAATAAATTATGCCAGACGATGCAATTTGAAAGAGGTTTATCAAATTTTGACTTGAAATCTTGCAATGTCTTAGATCTAAGAAAGAAAGCTGTTTCAAAGGTGTAGGAGTTCTCAGATCAACATATCTTTCTGCATTTGACCTTCTGCACCTCAAAATTTTCAATCCGGAATCAAATTCAACAATTTTAATTAAAAGCGTCGAAGAATCCAAAGAACAGTTACTTATATCTATTTCATTGATTGTCTGGTTATGAACAACCCAATCCGATGATAAAATATTCGAAATATCATCGTAAATATTATAACTTTCATTTGTATTCAAAAATTTGATTGTTTTCAAGGATTTGTAGCATTCCTCGAACAAAATGTTTGAGAATATGTCATTCATTGTCGTTTTCTCCATTTTGCAGCTGTTAAATTCAAGATATTCAATTGATTTCGTAATTTCTGGTATTTTCGTGTAGAATTGGAGGAAATTGAATTGATCACAGATGCATTTATCGAATATCCATTGAGATGGCATGAAAAGATGAGAATTTTGGAGTAAAATTTTCAAATTTTCCAAAGTTTCTCCGAAATTGCAGGAAATGAATATAATCTTGGTTATGAACTTCCCATAGATGAATAGATCATTACATCTTGAAAGAAATGTTGAAATTTCAATCGAATTCAAAAATAAATTCGAAATTGTTTTTTCGGAGGCAAGTCCTAAGATTAGTTGACGAACATAAGGAAAATCTAACTTATCTGTTGTTATTTCGTAGTTTTCGTCGATCAATTCTATTCTTTGAGTGATTTCTTCGAGAATTTCATCATTTAACTCTAATTTTGTGAAGAATGAGCATGAAATAATCCTGTCTGTGATAATGTCATCTGAGTAAGGCTGTGTTGACTCGAAATGAGGCTGGTATTCCGGTGGATAATGTGTAGATAAAGGTAAAATTTCAATTGGGAACTGTAAAGTGCGAATAATGTATGTAAATAGTGTAAGTGTCATTGCATCTTCTGTTTTAATCTTAATTCTATCTGTATCATTACTAAAATCTGCAGTTTCTGCAGTAGAATTGATATGCATAAGATCGAATATGGGCATTGACTTTACTTGAGTGAATGTTTCATCATTTTTCTCATAAAGGAATATTCCATGAGTCGCTAAAACAAAAATAACTTTTTTATTTACTCCTCCTTCAAGTTCTTGCTCAACTTCCTGGTATTGGAATATCATTGTCTTCGATATGTTAAGGTATGGGTCTAGTTCAGCTAAAGCAGAGCGAATTTCAGGAGTAATCATGAAAAATATTGACAAAATTGTTAATTTTGTTGTAGAATAAGAAATCACATATTTCTGTTATATAAAATATTTTATTAAAAATAACTTATCCACATTTTGGACGATACCTTGACTGTTGGTGTCAAAAATTTAAGATGACTATCAGTGTTCTGCGATCTTTGATATACCTGGCTCTACTAACTATATTAGCGATATTCTCCAAAAAATTTGAGCAATAACTATATAGAAATAGCTTCATCTCAGCAATTATCCTTAATAATCTGTTTGTACTGCAGTTATTGCAAGTTTATAGTGTCAATATCCTAACTCAGGTTACATAATGAATCTATTAATTTTCTTTCAATCAAATAAGAATTGATTCATCAGAAAATTAATATATTATTGAATGAAGCAGTTGAATGTTATTTTAAAAGCTTCACATTACACCACATTCTGGCAAATAAATAGCATGTTTATGGAAAAATAATGAAGAAATTGTAAATTGGTCATACAACAATAAGTTAATGGAATATAAATGACAATCATGAGCATTACATGAAGTGAAGATGCTGTTTGGTTGGCTGTGATCTAATTAGAATTTGTTTTTCATTTAAAAATCGCATGGATGAATTTCTGACAATTCTCAATTGATGCATTTGACAAAAAAAATGAAATGTTATCATAATTTGTGTTTGGATAAAAGGAATGATTTCAGATAAATTGAATTGAAAATAATCGGAGATATATATATTCAAAATTTGATTTCAAAATGTTTCTATTTCTCCTTAATCTTTTTGATGGTGCCGATCCCAATCGCACAAAACCAGTAAATTTTCGTCAATGCCCAGGTCAGGAGCATCAATATTTCTCATTAAAAAAATTTGAAATTTTTCATCCAAAAGATACAAGAGGAATTCCATTAGTAATTCGAGCAATTGCAGAACTAAATCATAAAGTGGAAGATCCGAAGCTAGAAATACAATTAGTTAAAGGTAGAATTCCTTATTTCAGAAAAATTGATGATCTTTGTCAACCCGGTATATTAATATGTCCTGCATCATTCTCACAACTCGTTTATGGTATACAAATTACACTTTCTCCAATAATTCCGGTTGGAGATTACACATTACGGCTTATTTTTAGAGAAAAAGATAAAAAACTTTCATGTTATGAATCGCAAATGCCTATTGTTGATTTAGATCTCGAAAGATATCAACTTGAAGCAAGGATCAAAATTGAAAGAGAATTATGGGAACAATATCGAAGAGAACAAGCAGAAAAGAAAGGTTAATCCAATGATGCGGTTATCTATGTTTTTTATAATAATAAGGAAATTATTTTATCCTTCATTATTTTTTATTATATGTTATTATTAGTAAAGTGTTGTGTTATATATATATACTCTAAATTTAATTGGTTTACCCCGGGTTACAGGGCACAGAAATTAAGATGATGTGTTTCGGTCCGAAGACCTCCGGCATCATCCCGTGTTGTTTTTTGTAGTTTGCGTTTAGCAAAGCAAGCCCCTCAGTTGCCTTCATAGGGAACTCTACGTCCTTGGACAAAGACAAAAATTTGAATGATTTACAACACATCAAATACAAAATTTAAAATCAGAAGAACTTGTCAAATTCTCAAATTTCATTCAATTTTTCCATTATCCGAAAACGAGATATTTTGATGATTTTGTATAATAAAATATAGGGTTAAGGATGTCAATTTGGAAGAAAAGTGAGAAAATTCCTAAAATGCTTAAAATGAATTTTCCAAACGTACTTTTTTATCTCATTTTTTTGATTTTGAAAAAAATTTGGAGAGAAGAACTCTTCGTTTTTGAATTTTGTCACGATGGTTTTAAAGTATATTAGACACATGTATTGATATTACTATTTTTGTATATTTTGAGAGAAAATCCCTAAAAAGTGAGAAAATCTAAGACGGTTTGAGAAAATATATAAACTATTGAAAATTTGAATTAAACTTCTAATTTGGAAAAAAGAAATTTGGAAAGAAGAAAATTCAAAAATCGAGATTTAGACTCAGTATCAAATGGAGAACAAAATGTTTCTTCATATGAAGGAAAAAATTTTCTTGTGAAGAAATAGAGTTTTTAAAATTTTATTGTATGTAATGAAATAAACAAATATTAAAATTATTTTTTGATAACAAGAAAATTCCCAACAGAAAATATTTGAGACAAAGAAAAAAAGAAAATTGAAAAATATTACTCTCCTTTACATTTCATGAGATTTTCAATTTATTTTCATAAAATTGACAATTTTATACGTTTAGATGAAAATAAGTGATTTTGCTTGAAATAGAAATTATTATTTGTTTACAGCTATCAAATAGATTTTTGCTATTTTGATTAAAATTTGTTAATCAAATTAATAATTTTTTTTCTAAATATCTTAAATATCTGGATCACTCACTGATACGATGAATTAAACGATAAAAATAATACAAACTCAACTAAGTTTCCTGTCTTTCAACCAAAAAATATTATGCAATTTAAATTAAATTGTTTATTCAAAGATAAAACAAAGATAAAGTAATTATAATTATCATATACTTTATGAATAACTCTCTAATTGGATAAGATTTTCGTAAAAATATTTTTATTAATATCGATAAGAATATGTTTACCTACTATCACAACATATCGATAAACAAGAGTAGAGTGATTTTTATCATCGAAACTTTTTAAAAGCTGTAAGCAGGAAGTAATAATCTTGTTTTTTCTGAGTTAGTTGTAGAACTATTGATGCCCGAGTTATCATTGTGATGCAGAAGGATATCAATGTACTGACTGAAGGATATGAATTGAATTGAATTTTATTGAATTTCAATTTGATCAAAATTTGTTGAAATGATATGAATGTGTCAACATCTGTATCACTCTCTTTCACTCCTTCCTTATTCTTTCGAGAACGAAGCTAGCTCAGCTTTCGCTGAGCGAATTGACACTTTTGATGTCCTAAACGTACATGCTCTCAAATTTATCGAAAAAATTATACCACCTAAACTAGTATATTCTTATTTTAAATATGATATTATCCTTATATTCCACACTAAAATTCATTTAAATCAACTTTTAAAAAAGTTCGAATCCTGCGCGTCTCACTTTTTAAATTTTCGAAAAGGAAAATTATATTCTCCTAAAGTGAAAACAATTTTCCGAATTGACATCCTTAGTAGGGTTGCTAAATTTTTTCCATGTTTAAATCTTGGAGGATCTTAAGATAATAAAAGTGACACCAGAGAAAAAAACACAAAATAATATGGTGAAGCGAACCAAAGTAACTATTTGATATTTAAGTATAAAAAAGCTATATGTATCCTAATTTTCAGAATTTAGCAAAAAAATTATTTAAATTTAAGGATGCGCTCACCATGTCAGATTTTTCATGCATGTATAACTTTTGATAGACTTAAACCTAGAATCTATTATTCTGCTATATATATTAATTTTTTATAAACTATTTTGATTAATGTTTTTAAATAATAATTGTTTTTCACAATAATCAGATTTGATTTTTGGCCAAAATCGTAAAATATAAAAATATCAATCCATCACAATATTTTAAATTCTAATGATATTCTACCCTATTGATGGTATGGCTGGAAAATTAACATTCATGAAGTTATTAGATTAGGAAAATTGAATGGACCCTATTCAATTTTTTGATTTTCCTCTCAATATTATAAAAGATATAACTCAAGAACATGTGACATCAGAAATAGTTCACACAATCAAAAGGATATATTCCTTTTTGGATAAAAGCCTGATGGAACGATATTTTAAAAATATATTACTAAAATGAAAATAAAAAATCTAATTTTATGAAAATAAATGTTTCTTCAAAAGCATGCAAACCATATAAAATTTGCATGAGGAAAAAAATTCTGATATCAGTATTAGTTCACAGTATCTATTATTCGGACCTCTGGATTTTTTTGAAAAATCGCGACAGACTTACCATCATGTATTTTTGCGTATTTGTAATGCATATATAGTATGTATTACGAGTCTATTCTTTGATTTTTTTTTCTGATGAGTTTTTGAAATTTGATTATACAATTATATTGATTTTTTATATAAGAAGTGTAGGATAATGTAATTCAATATGAGTATATTGGTGTTAGCTTGCTCATTTAAAAAATAAAAGTATATTACTATATTTGCTAATTATTCATGGAAGAATCAATAGATATTTTGTACACAGCTTTATGAAAGTGTGCCTAAACAAGATCAAGCAACATAGGTAACAAAAGTCATTGCTGTGTCAATATCTTGCATTAGTGGGAAATTGTAAACGGCTATCAAAAAAAGTGCAGAAAATTCAAATGTAAGAGAAGAAAATATCATAATTATTGTAAAATAATAATAGGTACATGCAAATAAAGATTATTTTAATGGAATTATGGAAAAATATTATTCACTTTTAAAATTTTTACACTTTTGAATACTATTCAGAAATTCTTTGAAAATTTAAAAATCATTCAACTCAATATCAAAAGGGATCTAGAGCCTCAAAGTTTTACTATCATAATAATTACATATTCTAAGCATTTTTATGGAATGTTAGTGCATCCTTAATCAAATAAACTTTGTATTGGCTTAAAAGAAATAATATCACAATGGTAACTGAATGGGTCATATTTTAGCTAAATGTTTAAGGTGAGTCTTTCGTTGTTTAAATTGGAATAACTTTCGTATTGTGAAATATCGTTTCCCTTCAAAGGTAACTTGTAGTATCATGTCTGTAGAGTAATATTTCAAAAAATCAAAAAAATTTCAAGACCCTCTAGGATCGTCCAAGATCATCAAAATCTTGGAAAAAAGTTTTTTTGAATGGTTTATACCTCTAAAATCAATGGTTTACATAAGATCTTTAGGGGTGTGAATTGAGCCCCAAAGAGAATGTGACAACACATTCAAAATCATCCAGAAATTTAAGTTATGATATTTTATCAAATATATGCTCCTCATTAATAATAATAATGGTTTACTTGATATTTATACCTGTTTTAAAAGGAGTCCTGTATATCCTACAAAATCTGACATTTGTAAAGTTTCAAATCTGACATTTGTAAAGTTTCAAATCTGACATTTTGTAAATAGTCCAAGTTGTCAGATTCATCCTTGGCGCCAAAATTTAAAAAAGTGCCATAATCTCATGGTGGACTACAGCTGGTGTCGCCGCCGACTATCCACTTGCTGGGATGCTACGCAGCCTTTGATCTGGCCAATCTTAGTGCTGCTCCATCCACATCAGCAAGTGATTTCGGCGGGGGATCTCCAATCGGTCTTCCATAAGGGTTACGCAAGCCAGAAGCGCAATACCTGTGCAGTCTAGCTGCTAGGATATAGTAGCTAGGCTGTGTAGGTATTGCGCTTCTGTCGATATTAGTTATACGTTATTGCCCTCGTTGACTATAGTACTACTCCCTTAACCTCCGAGGGTTAGGGGAGTAAATTTGCTTGAAATGGGCAATGTTCATTACGAAATCTCTCATTCGATGAGAGACTTCGTAATGAACACTACCTTAAAGTACTCTTACTACTCTTTCCTAGTTACCAAAAGGCCTAGGATTCTGTAATTAATCGAATAGGGCAGAGTTCTTCCGAAGTCTCTCATTTGATGAGAGGCCTCGGAAGAACTTTGTCCTAGTATAATGTAGTTGTGGTCTCTAACAATTTATGTGTCAGAGAATGTACTTTTACTCGAATAGAGCAGAGTTCTTCCGAAGTCTCTCATTTGATGAGAGGCCTCGGAAGAACTCTGACCTAGTGTAATGTAGTTGTGGTACTTGGCCCACAAAGAGCGAGAGAATATGTCTGTAATTCGTTTGTGCTGAAGTTATCTGGATTTTCCTCAAATGAGGAAGGAAATCCAAAAAAACTTCAGCACAAGTTAATGCAGATGTGGTTCTCTGGCTCTTTGCTGGCCAGAGAACGAATAAAAATTTTTTGTTGTGAGTAGGCTCGATGAATACCTACTCACTACAAATATACGTTATTTTTTACTTTCCTATGAGAAAATAGTTTTTCATTTTTATAATACTATATGCTTTGTTACTTCATAAATTGTCTATTTTTCTTATTAAAGCCTAATTTTTCCGTGTGATTCGGAATCTATGCATTCCAAAAATGCGTTTCCGCTTTCAGAACGCGAAAATAAGCACTATATGTGCAGATAAAGAAGATTCTTTCTCCCCCAAAATTCCAAAAAAAAATCGTTTTTCTTTTTTTCCCCGCGAAAAATGTGCTTTGTGATTTCGAAATTTTCGAACCACGATTTTTTGGAGATTTTTCGAAAATTTTAATATGATAGATATGAGTAATTTTACGTATTCTAATAGATGGCAAGTTTATTTTTGAGTTTTGATTAAGAATGAAAAATTTCAAAAAATAAAAACATTAGAAATCTCTTTATCTCCACATATAGTGCTTATTTTCGCGTTCTGAAAGCGGAAACGCATTTTTGGAATGCATAGATTCCGAATCACACGGAAAAATTAGGCTTTAATAAGAAAAATAGACAATTTATGAAGTAACAAAGCATATAGTATTATAAAAATGAAAAACTATTTTCTCATAGGAAAGTAAAAAATAACGTATATTTGTAGTGAGTAGGTATTCATCGAGCCTACTCACAACAAAAAATTTTTATTCGTTCTCTGGCCAGCAAAGAGCCAGAGAACCACATCTGCATTAACTTGTGCTGAAGTTTTTTTGGATTTCCTTCCTCATTTGAGGAAAATCCAGATAACTTCAGCACAAACGAATTACAGACATATTCTCTCGCTCTTTGTGGGCCAAGTACCACAACTATATTACACTAGGTCAGAGTTCTTCCGAGGCCTCTCATCAAATGAGAGACTTCGGAAGAACTCTGCTCTATTCGAGTAAAAGTACATTCTCTGACACATAAATTGTTAGAGACCACAACTACATTATACTAGGACAAAGTTCTTCCGAGGCCTCTCATCAAATGAGAGACTTCGGAAGAACTCTGCCCTATTCGATTAATTACAGAATCCTAGGCCTTTTGGTAACTAGGAAAGAGTAGTAAGAGTACTTTAAGGTAGTGTTCATTACGAAGTCTCTCATCGAATGAGAGATTTCGTAATGAACATTGCCCATTTCAAGCAAATTTACTCCCCTAACCCTCGGAGGTTAAGGGAGTAGTACTATAGTCAACGAGGGCAATAACGTATAACTAATATCGACAGAAGCGCAATACCTACACAGCCTAGCTACTATATCCTAGCAGCTAGACTGCACAGGTATTGCGCTTCTGGCTTGCGTAACCCTTATGGAAGACCGATTGGAGATCCCCCGCCGAAATCACTTGCTGATGTGGATGGAGCAGCACTAAGATTGGCCAGATCAAAGGCTGCGTAGCATCCCAGCAAGTGGATAGTCGGCGGCGACACCAGCTGTAGTCCACCATGAGATTATGGCACTTTTTTAAATTTTGGCGCCAAGGATGAATCTGACAACTTGGACTATTTACAAAATGTCAGATTTGAAACTTTACAAATGTCAGATTTTGTAGGATATACAGGACTCGTTTTAAAAGCTCTTTTCTTTCAAAAAAAATTGAAAAATCCAAAACTCGAATTTAGGATGATCTTTGGGTTTTTTCGAATTTGGATGATCCAAAAAGATCATCCAAATTAGCAACCCTATAAAATGTTAATCTTCTTAAGAATCATGTTAAATGATTGAAGAATTTTTAGAATTTTTTCCGAAAAAATTTTATAAAACAAAATTATTTACAAATCTGAGGAAATCATATTCTTGGCACGCTTTGCATCGACAGACTTTAACACATTGAGCTTTTCTTTCATTAAATCCAAATCAATTTTTAATTCTTCAGTTGCTTTGTCAAATCCGAGTGATTCTGCTTTATTATTAAGTTCTGTAAGTGATTTGAGTTCATCTGCGATAAATTTAGGACCATTTTCAATCAATTTTGAAACGAAATCTAGATAAACTTGAGAAGCATTAACATTTTGAAGTCTTTCAATAACATTTTCATGTTTACCTTGGAAGTACTCATCAATGACATTATCTGCTTGTTCATTCTGTCCAAATGTGTTATCAAGTAAGCCAAATATGTTTCTGTGAGTATTTAGGTTCTCATTAACAAATTTTAGCATTGGCTGTAATGTATACTGTTCCATAAACTCTGTTCCGTTTGGAAATTCTGGAGAATAAAAGTTAACTTTTGGATAATAAGTAACATTCATTTTTTCGCAGTAATCTTCGTATGTTTCGCAGCTAAGTAAACCAATATTTGCATTGTCTTTCTTGAAAATGTTGAAAAGATTCTTGAAATGAGGCATTGCTTGAGCGCAGTACCTGCAAAATGGTTTGTAGTATATCGCTACGAAATTAGTTTTGTTTTCAATCATTGCATTAATATCTTTAGGTTGATATAATTTCATAATTCTTTTTGGACGATTTATCGCTGGTTTTTTAAGATGATATTCAACAAAATCCAAAATAAAATCTAAGTCTCTATATTCTGTGAATTTTCGTGGTCTTCTCTGCTTTGCAGCATACAAATGAATTGTTGGATATCTGTCGATTTGATTTGAAACGCAAAACTGCATATTATCGTAGTTCATGCAGTTTATTGTTATCACACTAAGATTTTCGAACATTTCGGCTGTCTTATTTAAAAGTCTAAGTGCATCTTCAAATCCTGTGCATCCATTTTTGTAATACAGTGTTAGCACGTGATTCTTACCTCCAATGAATGTTTTCGCTTGTGCTTCATTTTCTATTTCTTGATAAATGAATGAAAAAGATAAAGAAAACAGAAAAGAAATCATTTGACAAATTTTTCATTGAATTTAATTGGCCGAATCCTATATAAAGAAGAAAGTAATTTATCTCTCAAATCAAACAAGAAGTTTTTTTCCAATTAAACAATCCTTCAACTATTGTTTACTTCTATTGTTACCACAATCTTAATAAAATATAACTAATTTGAGTAAATAGAAAATCAAAATTGCAAACAATAAATAGCTTATGTTAACAGCTCTTTTCAATATGTCAGATTTGCTATTTTATCTTTTATCTGTGAATTTCAACTTTAATTTTTGGCCTAAAGAAATCAATGCGAACATTAAATAGACTTTTAGTGTCATCTATAGGACTAGATTTTTTCAACAAAGTCTTGGGCAATGAAATCAAATTAAGAGAATGACAGTCTTAAGTTCACTTTTGTCTTAATTTTTTTTTTGACAGGGCTGGCTTAATAAATATCTGAGAAAAAAAACTACGTATAAAATTGAGGTGTAATATAACGGTTAAAATGCAATTCAAGTTCAATTCAAAATATTGACCAATATGATATTTTGAATATCTCAAAAGTCGATTGGACAAATTTCATTAGTATTATTTCGTAGAATTTTAAAAAATCCAATTCTTGATAAAGATTGAAAACCTTTCAAAATTATGTGTTCCCTAATTTTGTAAAGCTTTCAATATATATCAAGAATTGGAAATTTTTAAAATTTCATAATGTCTGAGAGTTCCAAAATGAACTTCCACGAGTTAATGTCATTATACAAAGAATATAATGACACATTCGAAGCACTGTATACACCAAGAACCAACAATGAAGAAATGTTAGACAAAATTTGTAATGATATCAAAATTAATTTAATAAACACAAAATATTTCGAGCCATCTGATATACTAAAGATATTGGGATCTCTACAGAAATACAATAATCGTTATGATGAATCATATTGGTACATATTCAAAAAGATTTATGAAGAATTTCGTCCTGATCATATTAATGGCATCCCATTCGTATTTGATTATCGTGTTTACAAAGAATATGGTATTTGGTTAAACCAAAGGAATCAAAAATTAAGCGGTAAATTGAAAATTGTTAAACCAAGCGCCATTATTCAAGCAATAATGAATGATGACATAGTTACATTTAAATCATTCACAGAAAGAGAAGATTTTGATAAAAATGATGTTCTTGATGCTCCTATAATATTTGAAAAAACTAACCTCTCATTACTTGAAGCTTGTTGTTATTATGGAGCAACAAAATGTTTTTCATTATTACGAGAAAAATTTGATTTAGAAATAACAAAACGATGCCTCAAATTATCAATTCTTAATGGAAATTATGGTCTTGTAAAAGAATGTTTGAAAGTGGTTGAACCAGATGATGATTGCATGGAGAATGCAATAATATCGCACAATATTGCTTTGGTCACATTTTTGATGATAGAATATGAATTAACCATTAATTTATATTATTGTGGTCTTTATAATAGTCTTCAAGCATTCTTCGTTTATTTGGATCAAACAAATGATATCAAGAAATGCTTCATTTATTCACCATCATTCAATATTCTGTCCCTTTGTCAATATTTCCTTGATCATGGCGCAAATATAGGGTGTCCAAAGGTGTGTTTAGCACAAACCTGAATACTGCGAATAGAAATAAACAAGTTACATATATATAAAGTTTATTTAAATATAATCACCATTGGATTCAATCACGCGTTCGCAGCGATCGATCCAGGCTTGAAAGACACGCTTTAAATCATCATGAGAAAATTGCTCAAATTGCTCTCTTACAAAATTTTCAAGATCATCTGGACTCGCGAATTCGCGTCCTTCAGCTCTCTTTTTTAGCGTGCCGAATAAATAAAAGTCAGAGGGTGCAATATCAGGTGAAGAAATTGGGTTTGGAACAACTTTGACATTGTTTTCCACCAAGTAATTCATTACCTTATGACTTTTGTGAACTCTTGAATTATCAAAATGAATTGCAAACTTTTGTTTTTGTTGTTTGGATTTCTCAAACTCATCAGAATTGATAATTTGAGTAAGAACATTGTCAATTAGATACTGAGCATTCATCGTATTAGGTTTTTGAAGAATATCAATTGCGATGATGCCATTCACGCCCCAAAAAACCGACAACATCATCATTGGTGTGTCAATTTTTTTCTTCGGGAATGTTTGCGGATTTTCATCCTTCGGGATCCACATGATTTTGGCTTCTGTTGCATATTGAAACCAAGACTCGTCCCTGTTGCTAAAAAGCGAAACTTCTTGATTGATACGCACCCAATATAGAGAGGAGCTCTTTCGAAGATTGGACTCTAGATTTTTTTTGAACTGAATTAAGGTTGTGCGGAACCCAACGTGTATACGCTAGTTTGTAGTTCAAATAATTGTGCAGATAATAACTGACTGTTGTACGTGGTATCTTTGTCATCTCCTCTATCCTTCTGAGTGATGCTCTTGGGTCTTCATCTAGCGCTTGAAGAATTGCTTTGATTTTTCTTTGATCCGGTGATTTTTTGTCAATTTTTATGATGGGCGCCTTTTTGTTCATGAAGTGATACATCCTAACATGATACGTTACAGTGGAATAGCTAGGAGCATCCATACCGAAGCATTTTACCAATGTCTCGTAGATTTTTTTACAGTCTTTGCATTTTTTTGCAAGAGCGAGGATGTTTTCTTTATGATTCATTAAAAAAATGAAAAAAATCCCGCCAAAATTTCCCGCGAAACCGCCTCTTGTCTCAAAATTCATTTTATATCCCGGCATGGCGCCAAAATACAACATACTCATCATATACATATATTCATATTTTTTATTATATATTTATAATCAGCATATATCTCCTTTAATAGTCTCATATAGAGCGCTGTGCTAAACGCACCTTTGGACACCCTATATTAATGATAGTGACTGTAAAAATAAAATGACAGCTCTTCATACTGCAGCCCGTTTAAATAAAGTAGAAATTGCAGCATTTCTTATTAAAAATGGTGCAATTGTCAATGTAAGAAATCTTAAAGGAAATACACCATTACAACTTGCAGCAAAAAATAATTGTAAGGAAATGATTGAATTTTTGATGATGAACGGAGCAAATATTTTTGATCTAAATTATGACAATAAATCTGCTCTTTGTTTGGCAGCCGAAAATGATGCAAGTGATGCTGCAGAAGTCCTTATATTACATGGAGCAAATGTTAATGAAACATATCACGATGAAGAAACAGTTCTTCATGTTGCAGCCTGTTTAAATAAAGTCGAAATTGCAGAAGTTAGTATGGTTATCTTGGTTATGGTGGCACTGCGTTTCCACCTTCACCCAAGATAATGGTTTGACACTTTACAAAACCGTTAACGTATATTTTACAACACAAACGACAACACTAACTTAACCTTAAATATTTACAAAACCACCACCCACTTCACTTCACTAACGAACTCACTAATGTAAAAATAAACGTTCTCACTATCATTCTCACTAACGACTTCACTAATGTTCTCATAAATTTTCCTCAATATCTTCATCATCAGTGTTAACCCTATTGTAGTCATACTTGAAGCCATAAACTTTCTCTAACTTCTTAACGTACAATTTACATAACTTACCTTCGTCATCATATGGTTTAATGATATAACTATTTCTATCTTTATACACAGTCAATGAAAAGTCAACTGGTCTCGGATGTATTTGAAAGAACATGTTATGCTCAGGAAGGAAGAATAAATGTTTAAATGTATGTTTGTTATACTGTGGAATTCGAATGAGTTGCTTTTGTTCTGTCATTTACATCCAAATAAAAATAAAATAAAAAATAAACTTAAAAATTAATGATATCACCACCCTCACACGTATGAAAACATAGCACAAAAATAAATTTAGGTGAAGTGGTGAGATCTCACCTCTTTTTTCACCTGTTTTTTCACCCTGTTGAATTCATTGCTTTATAACTCTCTTCCTTTCTCCAACTCTTCTAACTTCTTCTTAAGTTCAGCAATGTTGTCCTCATGAAGTTTAATCTTCCTTAATATACCTTCTCTATCTAATGGTTGCTTTATCTTTCTAAACTGAACTCTACCATCCTTCATAGTATGAATGTAAAAACCTTCTGGAATAGTTCCTGATTTAATGTATTCTACCAAAAACTTTTGTTTCATTGCTTCAGTGACTTTAGTCGTCATTTCAATCAAATAAAAATTTTAATATTAAATAAAAATAACGTTATTTTTTCAGTAAGGAAACGCAGGAGTTTTACGATTTATTTGAGGAGTAGGTTCTGGTTTAAATGTTGGAGTCGGTTTAGGAGTTGACTTTTGAACAGGAGTTTGTACTTCCATAGGTTCAGGAGTCATTGAAGGTTTTGCTTGTGAAGGCGTTGGTTTTGGCGAAGGTGTTGGAGTTTGTTTAACTTCAGCTACTTCAGTATTATTTACAACATTTGCTTTATTTCTTTTCAACATCATAACTGCTCCTGCTGTAGCTAGCAAACCTAGTGGGAGACCATATCTTATATAAGGACTTGACCAAATGCTATTTTTGACAGGAGCTGGTGGAACACCTAACCTTGGTGAGACTGCTCTTTGCCATTGTGCAGCTCGTAAGAAATATTCAATAGGTGCTCCATAATCGTTTGGTAAAGTTTGTTTCACAGATGGTGAAGGTTCACGAGAGCTTGATGAAGAACTCATTTATAAGCTTTAAAAATAAACGTTCATCCTTTATTCCTCACCGTCGTCCGTAGCTAAGTTATAGTCATCTAATCTTATTATTGGGATTCCATTAGCACGCACCTGAATGGCAAAGCAACAATCCCTCATAAATCCAATAAGTGGCTTTGGTACGTTTTCAGTTGCTAGTTCAATAGGTCCTTTAACAGACAATTTGTATGTTATTGGAGCAGTAGATGTTTGACCTTGCTGGAAGCAAAAGTCCACTTCTGTTGGAAAACCACATAAGAAATGTGTGTTGTCATAGCTATCCCATTTATGTTCCACACTACCATCATC